TCAAATGAACCTTCAACCCTGTCAGGAAGGAATTCCTGTTTTAAGACGGTGAAGGCAAACCAGTTCTGAGAACACAGACGTCACTGGCCGACTCTGAAGGTGCCAAATTTAACCGTGGCCCAGGTTTGTTCTCAGAACCTGTCAGAGAGACAGACTCATAAACGAAGAACAGATAACAGCTATTTGGGGTGGGGTCGGGGGCGGCTCGGGGGCGGAGAGATTGAGCAAAAAAGAAAAAGGACTCCTGGACATAACAGGGTGGTGATCGCTGGGGGGGGGGGTGGGAGTATAAGGGGACTACATGGTAATGGGAAAAATATAATAAAGATTGTATTAAAAAAAAAAGGAAAGAACCTGTTGAAAGGCATGGAGTTGAAGCCAGGTTTACATTCTGATTCCTCCAAGTCACCAAGCGGTTGTACTGGTGAGGAGTTGGGCTAGGACCGAGCCAAGGGGACGGGCAGCGTTTTGGTTGGCGAGCAAGCACAGACGGCTTTTGCAAACAGTTAACACACATGCTCACAGGAAACAAAACACTCGGAAACACGCCTGCTCCTCCTGTCAGGCTGCGAAGACCGCAGAGATCCTGTCCAGAGTGTCCCCGTGTTCCCAAGTCACGTTCGGCTTTTCGGAGGACACACACTGGTGTCCAGATTCGTCTTTTGAATTAAGTTGAAGAAGATACCATCTGATCCCAGTCTGGAGTAGAAAACATACAGCATATTAGCGATAGACAGGATTTAACCCTGAAAGGGTACCAATGCAGCTTTCTGGGTCAAGTCAAGTTCTTCATTTGCTGGCTGAGACACTAAGATGATTTATTCCAGCGTGTTCTGGCAATGTCTGGTCCTCCGATCAAATCACCACGGGGTGGTAAACGTGGTGGCCAGGGAGAGGAGCGCCCTCCTGCCCCCGAGGGGTCCCGGCTTCCCTGAAGGGTCCTGCATTCCAGTTATTTGGGAATCATGTTCCAGGCAAGAGAAGACGTTCAGGGCACTGCCTCCAACAGTGAGTCCTTCGATGAGAGTGTTACAGACGCAAGTTTTGAGTTGCTTGTTCTTGACCTGACTCACATACTGATTTGAATTTTTCTGTAAGAAAAAGTGGTCATTTTTTTTTTTCACTAAAAGTTCTGCTGGGCTCCCAACACCTGCTCAAGAGGCAGTAGCCAAGGCGAGAGTTTGAAGTTAAGCGGCTCGGTGTGGTCTAATCGGATTCGCTTAACCAGGGGGTTGAGTGCTTACATTTCCTCATTCGTTTGGTCCACAAACACTTACTGAATACCTACTATGGGCCCGGCGCCATTCTAGGGGCCGGCTGTGTGGTGATTAAAAAGACAGTACAACTTCCGCCAAGATGGCGGCATAGGTGGAGACGCCGTGCTTTCTCACACCACCAAGTTTAGAGACAAGAAAATATTAGCAACAGAAAACACAGCCAGAACACAGAACATTGAACTTTTCGGAAGTCTGATAACAACAAATTCTTCAGCCTGACCTGTAGGAGGGGCGAAACCAGCAGCTGGCGGAGCGGGGTTGCACAGGAAAACTCTGTCAGACGGACTCGGGAGTGCGGAATCCAGGCGCAGGGTTGGACCTGGTGAGTGACCAGCAAGCAACCGCGGGGAAACAGCCAGGGAGCAGGGCTGCGGGTTGACTGTGGTCGTGCATTTGTGTGTGGGTGGACAGGCGAGGGAGTGGGCGATTGGACGGGCCCGGCGGCGTAAGGCAGCAGAGGGCACCGCCACATCCCCGCTCTGACCCCGCCTCCACATACAGCGTCATAACCCAGTGACCTAAGTGGCCCTGCACTGGTGAACCACCTAAGGCTCTGCTCCTCACTCAGCTGAAAGAAACAGCCGAGGGGGTCGCCATTTCCCCGCTCTGACCCCGCCCCCACATACAGCATCACAACTCAGCGACCTGGGAGTCCAAGGCTCCGCTCCTCAGACTTAATGGGCGCAAACAGACTAAAAATGGCTCAAGAAGATCTCAAAGCCCCAGAGCCTATAAATCTAAGTGATGAAGAAATAGCAAAACTCTCAGACACACAGTTTAAAACACTGGTGATCAGGATCCTCACAGAACTGGTTGATTATAGCCACAAATTAGAGAAACATATGAAAGCGAAACTAATTGAAATGAATGGAATTGCACAGGAAACCAATAGCGATGAAAAGGAAACTGGGACTCAAATCAATGGAGTGGACCAGAAGAAAGCAAATAATGGCCAAACAGAAAAGAGTCAAGAAGCAAGAATTCAAAAAAATGAGGAGAGGCTTAGGAACCTCCAGGACATCTTTAAACGCTCCAACATCCGAATTATAGGGGTACCAGAAGGGGGAAAGGAAGAGCCACCAGTGGAGAACTCATTTGAACAAATAATAAAGGAGAATTTCCCCAATCTGGCAAAGGAAATAGACTTCCAGGAAATCCAGGAACCTCAGAGAGTCCCAAAAAAGTTGGACCCAAGAAGAAACACACCAAGGCACATCATCATTACATTAGCCAAAATTAAAATGAAGGAGAGAATCCTAGAAGCAGCAAGAGCTAAGGGGACAGTCACCTACAAAGGAGTTCCCATCAGACTGTCAGCGGATTTCTCAAAAGAGACCTTACAGGCAAGAAGGGGCTGAAAAGAGGTATTCCAAGTCATGAAATCCAAAGACCTACAACCAAGATTGCTCTATCCAGCAAAGCTTTCATTTAGAATGGAAGGGCAGATAAAGTGCTTCTCAGATAAGATCAAATTCAAGGAGTTCATCATCACCAAGCCCTTATTATATGAAATGTTAAAGGGACTTATCTAAGAAAAAGAAGTTAAAAAAACATAAACAGTGAAAGGACAGCAAACTCACAGTTATTAACAACCACACCTAAAACAAAAGCAAACTAAAAGGACAGCTAGATCAGGAGTGGAAACATAGAAATGAAGATCTCAAGGAGGGTTAGCAACAGGGGAGTGGGAGGAGGAGAAGGGGGGAGAAGGTACAGAAAATAAGTAGCATAGACGGTAGATAGAAAATAGATGGGGGGCAAGAATAGTATGGGAAATATAGAATCCAAAGAACTTGAGAAACATGGTCATAAACTAAAGGGGGGGTAATGGTGGGGATATGGGGAGGTAGGGTGGAGGGGAATGAAGGGGGGAACAGAACAACTGTAATGGCATAATCAATTAAAAAAAAAAAAGACAGGACAGCCCTGGCTGGTGTGGCTCAGTGGACTGAGTGCCAGCCTGCGAACCAAAGGGTCGCTGGTTTGACTCCCAGTCAGGGCACATGCCTGGGTTGTGGGCCAGGTCCCCAGTAGGGGGCATGTGAGAGGCAACCACACATTGATGTTTCTCTCCCTCTCTTTCTCTCTCCCTCTCTTCTCTAAAAATAAATAAATAACATAAAGACAGGACAAATCCCTGCCTTCAAGTGACTTACGTCATGGTAGGTAACTAGACAAAAACCATCTAAGTGAATAAATACCTAAATGACTTTAAGTGGGTGGTAAGTGCTATGAAGTACCTGTGAATGTTACCTTATATGGCAAAAGGTACTGCAGATGTGATTCAGCTAAGAATTTTTGGGGGGGGAAGATTACACTGGGGAGATAGAGCTAAAAAAACAAAATCTCCTGCCAACCGCAGAAAGCTGCCCACAAAGGTAGGAGGGAAAGGGGACAGTGTCGTTGCTGAGTGAGACTCACACCAGGAGAAGACGCAAACGACAGGCTGTCCGCCCAGAGCAGCAGAGGCAGAAAGGAAGCTCACCTGTTACTCCACCCTGCAGGTGCCACTGTCACACACAGGTGCTCGAGATAGACTGTTCCTAGTGCTCAGGCCAGAGGCCTGGACCACGTGCCACACGGAGTTTGTCCTGAATCCACCTGGCAGTCGGGGAGCCACCTGTGCTTGTAAATTGCCTTCAGAGGAAAAACACACTCGTCGTATCTTTATGGCAGGAGGCAGGTTTGCAGCTTGGGGCCAGGTGTGCCCCCAGGTGGGGCTCCATCCCCAGTGGGGACTGGGGGCCAGGGCCCTATCCCCCTTGCTGTTTCCGTCCAAAGAGACAGCTCCCAGACCGTTCTGGGTTGTGAAGCTGGTAAAAGGCTTCTTTATACATGAATCTCACAGAGACAGAAAAATTCACAGTTATGGGTTTGCTGAGGAAAGGGTGGTGGCTGTGGGGGAGGTGCCTCCCCTTTGACACTGGGGAGAGTGAAGACTTGTCCTTCTTAGGTTTCCTTCGTATTTGCCCCACAACTGTCCTGGATTCCCCAGGCGGCCCTGGGTGTAATCACACGCACCCCGATAAGAGGGAGGCAGCGGGAGATCTGACCACAGCAGAGACAGAAGCACTGGTGACCAGGGACGAGGGCACCCTACATGGCTGGCTTTGAAGGGGGGGAGGGGCGACAAATCACCCACGAACTCAGCTCTAGGAGCTGGAAAAGGCAGGCACGCCATCTCCGCCGATTGGAGACTCCAGAGTGAGCGGGCCCTGCCGACACCTTGATTTTGGCTCAGTGACCCTGATTCTGGACGCCTGACCTCCAAACTGCAAGGGAACACGTGTGCTGTCTTCAGTGACCAAGCGTGTGGACATTAGTCCCAGCAGCCACAGGAACGAGTAGATGAGTGTACAGGTGGGGGCGTACAGAGAGGTCCATTGGGAAGCGGGCTCTGAAGAGAGGGTGCCTGGGCTCCAATCTGAATAGAGGGAACGATCGACTCTGAAAAGCTCCGGAGGAAGAGCAGCCTGGGCACACAGAGTGGCAGGAGGCGCTGTGGCCAGGGCCAAGAGTCCAGCAGGACCCCGGATGGCATGGACCTAGGGCGGCGGGCTGGTCAGCCTGGCTGCTGAGCCTGGCCTGGGCCTGGCCCAGGGAGCAGTGCCTGTAGGGAGAGGTGAGAAGTGCTGAGCTGGAGGACTTCGCAGCCCTGGTGCTCCCAAGGCCTGGAGCCCGCCCCGCGCAGGAAATCTGAGATCTCTCCCCAGTTTCCTTCTGACCTGTTCTGTTCTTTTTCTTTTACAAAAACAAACTCTGGGGACTAGATATGCAGCAGCCAAGTGTCCAGGGCTGCAGAGTTAGGGGTGACATTTGATCCCAGACTGAGGCTGCCGTTACAGCATCTGTCCTTGCCAGGCACCATGCATGTGTTGTGCCTTTAAGGATATTTTTAGAACTGCAGCAGCAGGAGCAGCTGATCTTTTCCTGAAGAGTTTCCACATGACCTAGCAAGACTGCTCTCACCTGAGATGCTGGCATTGGGCAGTCGGGGCCTCGCTCGGGGTGGGCCTTGGCTCCTGTCTCCCCAGGTCCCAGTGCCGAGAGGGCTCCTGGGATGGAGGTGACCGTGCCAGTGTGAGTCCCTTCCAGCAGACGTGGCCTCCACCACTGCGAGCGCGGCGTGTGCTTTCTGCCTCCTTCCCGCACGGCCCACAAACACTTGGAAGAAGCTCAGTGAGTTTCCGGCCCCGTCTGCAGGATGCCGTCTGCAGCAGGAGTTCACAATCAAGTAAGTTCCGTGAGGGTGAAGAGTTTTCCTTTCTCTGCCCCCTAGTCTCCTCCAGCTTTCAACAGCCGTCCACTCGGAAATTTGCCAGCAAGCCTTTGGTTTAATTTCACCCTAAACACTAGCTGAAGGGTTATTGCTATTGCAGAACCGGGGGGATAAGGCATCCTGGAAAAACAGCAGGGACCATTTCTGCCTGGCTCGTCATCAGGCAGCACCTGGCACAGCGGCAGATGGCCGACACCAATTAAATATTTGCTGGATGGATGAGTGGGGCCTGAGACAGTCCATCTGCAAGAGGTGGATGGAGTTTTCCCTCTTGCAGATAATGGGCTGCTGCTAGACTATACGTGGGCTTCTTCATAGAGGGTTTCTGGAGACAGGAAAGGTGACGTTCTAATGATACAGAAAAGGAAACGTGAGTAATTTATTTGTACATTTATGCTGCCGTTAAGAATCACGTTATAAAAGGGTATCTAAAAAATGGGGGAAAGTTCACAGTAGTGGTAAGTGAAAAGGGCAGAACACACCTTAGCGAGGTATTACATCCCGTTTACGTCCACTGCGCACAGATATGCATAGAAGAAACATTGGACTACACTTACCAAAATGTTAAATGCAATTCACTCTAGGAGGGAAGAGGATGACAGATTTTATATTCTATTTCCTACTGATGAAATAGATTTTGAAAGCATTTCTAAAATATTTGTGTAATTAAAAAATGGCCTTTGCTGGAAAGCATAAAAGTACATGAAATTGCACTCGCCTGGAAGCCCAGGAAGTGTTCCGTTTGGAAAATCAGACGCCACCTGCTAACGGGTGAGTCACCTGCACAGGCTCCCACTTGCCTCCGCACTGGCCAACCGGCTGCGGAGCATTTTCAAGCGAAATGGCCCCGAGCAAGAATGGCCCCACACCCCGCGGCCACGGACGCCAGAACTCCACTTTTGGCTAATTTCTGGAATGGAGGGCATTCCCTTTTCAAAGTTCACGCAATGGGGCCTTTCTCCACTTTTGAACAAACCAGAAGCCAGACTCCAGGCAAACGCGCCTCCCCCCGGACGACGAGTGTCAGCGCGGCTTTGACCCCCAGGCACTGCGATTCCTTGGCACGACCAAGGTCAAGGTGGCGAGGAATGGGGAGCGCAGCCCAGGGTGGCCCAGGGGCAGGAGTGTCCTCTCTGAAGGCTCCGGCGAGCCTGGAGCCTTTAGAGAGCCCAAGAAGCCGGGTCTGGCCAAGTGACAAGCCTGACCACGCGGTCGCCCAGGGACGTGCGTCCTCCACCGGGACAAAGGGTCGGGAAACTTGAGCCGGGCCTGTCCCGGAAGAGCCAGGCTGTGGTCGCCATGGCAACCGAGTCGGGCTCCTGGTGGTTGCCCCCAGCCCCGCCGGCGAGGGGGCTTTAGGGGTGGTCAGGGATGCCGCTCCGCCGGCCCGGCTCCACTGCCCGGCCCACCCCGCCCTCCGGCCGTGGCTGCGGGCCGGAGCCCACGACTGACCCTCGGCAGCTCCTGTAGTCACGTGGCGCTGGGAACCGGCGGGGGGGCTGGGCACGGGCCTGGCGGTGGTGAACTCGAACCTGCTGCTGTCGCCGCGGTGGGGCGGGGAGCGCGGCTGCCGGCACCGGCTTTGCGGCTTCATGGACGCGCGAAGCGCCTCCGCGCACCCCACCGGAGAGGTTCGTCCCGGGAGGACGCGGGGTTCCACACTGGCCGGTGGCAGGGGCGGCCCTACCTGCCGGGCGCGTGACCGTGTGCTCACTGTGTGGGGGGCACATGCCGACCGAAGTGGGGGGCGAGCCCGCGCACCTGCGCACAGGCTCCGCGAGGTGCGCTCTGCACCGGGACCTGAGAGGGCCCACTCTGGGAGCGCGGGCAGTGCGTCCGCCAACGGGGCCGGGGGTGGGGGCGCGAGTACAAAGGGTGTTGAGGGGGGGTCTCCACGGCCCTTCGTCATCCAGGACACAAGGGGCTTCAGACGCAGCCCTGGTCACACTTCTTCGCCTGCCCAGCCCTCTGGGAAACGGGCCTGGAATTCCCGTGGGGAGGAGAGTGGGGGGAGGGGAGCCAGCAGGGATTCCAGAGTTGCTGCCATAGTCCGGCCTTTGGTCACCAGCGTGAAGAATTTGTGCTGCGACCTTACCAGTGGCGGAAGTGACCCCCCCAACGCAGATGGGTGCTTTCTTGGCGCAGGGGACGAATTTATTTGTTAATGTACTGTCCATTAAGGTCACTTTGCTGGCCGGGTGTGGGGCCGGTTTGGGGGAGGGGGTTGTGGCTGGTGAGGACACAAAGATGACTGCCCTGGAGGACTGCACAGCCTCACGCATGTTTTCTCTCCCCTCCCCGCAGGTAAGGCTGGCCTCTCTGCCGCCGGAGGCCTGAGCTCTGCCATGGGGGTAGGGGTGTCGTTACTTCTGCAGTTTTCTCTGACATCCGGGGGCTACCAGAGCTTGGGCCGCAGCAGGCGCTACAGCCGCAGAAGTATCCCCAGGAGCGTCCCCAGCAGGAGCTGGAAAAAGCCTCGTCTCCAGCTCCACGGTCTCCAGGGTAGAGTCTGACCTTCTTTGTTGGGTTCCCACAGCCTCGGCGCCCAGGCCTCCCTCCAGGGCAAGGCAGGCAGGCGCTGTGGGGGAAGGATCCCATTCTCAAATCCTGGAGCCTTCCCCACGCTCAGTCTGGCTGTTGGGAATGAGTCATGTCTGTGCGCCTTGGAGGAGGGCAGACTCTAGGGAACTTAGGAAGATGTGTCTGGAGGTTTCCAGAAGGGAGTGAGGGTCCCTTAGGAGTCTAACCCAGACCCCCCACCCCACATTAGTGGGCTTAGGAAGCTCCCCTGCAGGAATCTGGGCTCCCCGGGGCTTTGGAGTTGCAGAATATGGGGCGGCCCCTGGCGAGGTTGGGGCAGGACCAGGCAGGGGACAGAGAAATAATCTCTTCTGTCCGCCCCCTCTCTTGCCCCAATAATCTCTCCTCCCCCTCCCAGGGAGGTCGCCCCAAAGCCCTGGGCCCCAAGGGCAGCAGCTGTGCGTGTTTCTTAGATTCAGGAGAACTTTCCTTCCTGCGATGTCCTAATCATGTGTGTGGGTGGGTGGGTGGAGGGGGGGCAGGCGGGCAGAATGTGGGCACAGTCTGGACAGGCAGTGGCCTGGCCTTGTTCTGGGAGGAGCAGCCAGCTCCCGTCCTGTTCCCAGCATGGCTGTTCTCACCAGCTCTCCTGACTTCTACCCTGAGAGGCAGAAAGAGACAGGGGGGGCCGAGAGAGCCTCCCCTCGTGCTGCAGCTAGTGCCAGAGGGAAGATAATAGCAATGGGAGGCTGTAGAAGTTTCTCTGAGAGCCCAACAAACCCAGGTGTTAGAGGAAGGAACACTGGCCTGGGAGTTGAGAAGAACAGTTCCCTAGTCCTGTTGGTTTACTGTGTCCCCGCCCCCTCTGCCCACTGCAAGTCCTGTCACCTTTTGTGCCTGGCGGTGGCTTCATCTGTCCATCAGGCTAATGTTTGCTGACCCGGCCTCACAGTTTGCCCTGAAACTCAGGTGTGGGGACAGGAAACAGTAGGGACGGGGGAGGGGCGGCAGGGCCGCACTTGGGGAAAGCAGAAGCTCCGTGGGGAGACGCGATGTGTTTTCTGGCGGGGCAGGAATGTTTATGTAATCAGCACCGGAATGCTCGCTCCACTCCAGATGTATTGCTGCCGTGGGTGGGGGGATTCCAGGAAGCGTCACGGTCAGTAAGACGCATGGCAAACACACTTGAAAAGTATGTCTAGGAGCTCAAGGTTGAGCTAGTCTAGAAGAGTAGCCTAGACTCGAGGGTTCTAGGAGCCCAGAGGGCCGAGTGCCCTTGGGCCGGGGGTGGTGGGAGGACCAGGGCAGGGTGAGTAGGCCTCTAGCGTGACTGTGCTTTTCCACCCGCAGCAGAGGAAGGACCGATGCTGGAACGTCGCTGCCGGGGCCCTCTGGCCGTGGGCCCGGCCCGGCCCCAGCTCCTTTCTGGGCCCTCCCAGGAGTCGCCCCAGACCCTGGAGAAGGAGCCCCGCGGGCTGGGGTTACAAGGCACCTCGGTGGCCCAGCCAGGCAGCCAAGCTCCAGGTCGGGTCCATCGCTGTGCCCACTGTCACAGGCACTTCCCGGGCTGGGTGGCCCTCTGGCTTCACGCCCGGCACTGCCAGGCCCGGCTGCCCCTGGCCTGCCCCGAATGCAGCCGTCGCTTCCGACACGCCCCCTTCTTGGCCCTGCACTGCCAGGTGCATGCCGCTGCCACCCCAGACCTGGGCTTTGCCTGCCACCTCTGCGGGCAGAGCTTCCGGGGCTGGGTGCCCCTAGTTCTGCATCTGCGGGCCCACTCGGCTGCCAAGCGGCCCATTGCTTGCCCCGAGTGTGAGAGACGCTTCTGGCGGCGAAAGCAGCTTCGAGCGCATGTGCGGCGGTGCCACCCCCCTGCCCCTGAGGCCCGGCCCTTCATATGCGGCAACTGCGGCCGGAGCTTTGCCCAGTGGGACCAGCTGGTTTCTCACAAGCGGGTCCATGTGGCCGAGGCCCTGGAGGAGGCAGCAGCCAAGGCCCTTGGGCCTCGGCCCAGGGGCCGCCCGGCAGTGACTGCGCCCCGGCCTGGCGGCGATGCCGTGGACCGGCCCTTCCAGTGTGCCTGCTGTGGCAAGCGCTTCCGGCACAAACCCAACCTGATTGCCCACCGCCGCGTGCACACGGGCGAGCGGCCCCACCAGTGCCCCGAGTGCGGGAAGCGCTTCACCAACAAGCCCTACCTGACCTCACACCGGCGCATCCACACTGGCGAGAAGCCCTACCCGTGCACCGAGTGTGGGCGCCGCTTCCGCCACAAACCCAACCTCCTGTCTCACAGCAAGATCCACAAGCGATCAGAGGGGTCTGCCCAGGGGGCCCCTGGCTCAGGGAGCCCCCAGCTTTCAGTGGGGCCCTCGGAGCCCTTGACAGAGCCCACCCCAGAGGCTCCACTGAGACCGGCGCAGGAGCCTTCCACTGAGCCCCTGCCGGAGGCCCCCCGGAACCAGGGGGGTGTCCCTGCCTCTCTCTACAGCTGCGAGGACTGTGGCAGGAGCTTCCGGCTGGAGCGCTTCCTGCGGGCCCACCAGCGGCAGCACACGGGCGAGCGGCCCTTCGCCTGTCCCGAGTGTGGGAAGAACTTCGCCAAGAAGACCCATTTGGTGGCCCACTCACGGGTCCACTCAGGGGAGCGGCCCTTCGCCTGCGAGGAGTGCGGGCGCCGCTTCTCCCAGGGCAGCCACCTGGCAGCCCACCGGCGCGACCACGCGCCCGAGCGGCCCTTCGTCTGCCCGGACTGTGGCAAGGCTTTCCGCCACAAGCCCTACCTGGCCGCCCACCGGCGCATCCACACCGGCGAGAAGCCCTACGTCTGCCCCGACTGCGGCAAAGCTTTCAGCCAGAAGTCCAACCTGGTGTCCCACCGGCGCATCCACACCGGCGAGCGCCCCTACGCCTGCCCCGACTGCGACAGGAGCTTCAGCCAGAAGTCCAACCTCATCACCCACCGCAAGAGCCACATCCGGGACGGCGCCTTCTGTTGTGCCATCTGCGGCCAGACCTTTGACGACGAGGAGAAGCTCCTGGCCCATCAGAAGAAGCACGATGTCTGAGAGCAGGGGCGTAGTTCAGTGGGGCGGGCGGTGGGGCGGTGGGGCCGGGCCGCCGGCCTGCTGCCGGCCAAACGGGGGCTGGGGGGTGGGGAGTGAGCAGCCCCTGTGAGAAACAGGGGGACCTGCTGTGGAGTGCGGGGGCCCAGCCTCCAGCCAGTGGTGGCTGCGGTTCCGTCCTCACTGTCCCGTGCCCTGGAGAAGTAGCAATAGAACCTGCACCCACCCCTTCGTGTCTGTCCTCCACTAGAGGGGTCACCGTGGACAGAGGACCCCTCTCTGGTGGTAACGCCTTAATGTCCCTGTCCGTCCGTCGTGAGCTAGCTCCTGCAGCTCAGTTTTGGAAGTAGGTGTGGTACAGTCCTTAGTGAAGAGCGCTCGGGAGGCAAAGCGGGCCAGTGGGGGCACCTGGGGGAACCTGCTGGCCGAGTTCAGCAGCCCTGGGGGTGAAGCCGCGCCGCTCCGCGCTGCCCAGCCCGGCCGCTGCTCTGGCGCCCGGTCCCGGAGACACCTGTCTGCTGCGTGGCTGCCCCTTCCTCCCTGCAGATCAGCCCAGGGAGGGGCGTCCCCCGCCCGTCAGACTTGCTGCATCCACCCCCTGCCCGCACTTAGAGCATCGCCCCGCTGCCAGCAGTCTCCTGTCTAGGCCTTCGTCTGAACTCCCCAACCCTGCCTCACACCTCCCAGACCCCACGTGTGGGCAGGGACTGCCCACTGACGACGGGGTCAGCTGCTGGGAAGGGAGGGGTAGGTGACAGGGAGTCCCCACCTCCTGAGGCCCTCGTTCTATTGTAGGACAATTCTAACTGTTAGAGGTTCTTCCTTATAATGAATGAAATCTGCTTTCCTGTCATTTCTACCTGTTGGGCCTTGTTCTGTTTTCTGGGGCTAAACAGAACCACCACATACCCTTCTTTTCACACTAGAGAATAAAGATTTGGTTTTAGAGCTGGCGGCTGAGACGTGTTCCTTTCCCCCAGAGGGCTGCGGCGCTGGAGGGAGGGGCAGCACGGTCCCCTCTGAGAAAGGGGGGGTGCTGTGCGGGGTGGGGGACTTGGTAGCAGGCCAAGTGCCCCGACTGGAGCCTCTGTGTCCCTGCTTCCAGCCCTTCCCCAGGGAAGGCCGGGCACGACCAGCAAGTGGGGCAAGTTCTCCGGGGGTTCAGCCTTTTGTGCCGTCAGGTCGGGGGGAGAAGTTCTGAATCGATTCTGACTGGACACTTCTGGGCACTGTTGTCTCATACTGATGGGGGCCTATTTTTGACAGGTGTCCATAGGCCCTTCTCCTGCCAGTCTGAGTAATTTCTGAAGAGGTCACCCACACCTGGCATGGTCCGGTGCACAAAAATAAGCCACAAACTGTTCGAGCGGCACCTTGCAAAGAAATTTTCCTGAATTATCTTGCATAACCCTTGTGCGGTAGCCACTCTTCTTTTACAGGTGAACGCATTGGCTCCAGGTCACGTGACTAGTAATTGCCCAAGGTCGGTCTGACTCCTGGAACCTGTGCTTTTTGACCATGGCCGTGGAGTGCCCTGCTGTTTTGGGTGAAGATAAGTATTCAGTGCCTCCTGGGTTTTATGCTGGGGTGGAAACTGGGGGATTGCAAAGATATACCCCATCCTTCCCCTCGGGAGGCCTAAGTCTGGGGTGGACATATGTGAGTACATACGTAATGAGTAGAGAGAGAGGGATGGGGGTGCGTGGGGGCTCCAAGTGTGCAGGAAGGAAGCAGGCAGCCTCAAAGCTTCCCATCGGCTTATGGGGTCATGGGCCACGGAAAAGCCTGCACAGTTGGCGGCACATTCGCATTCAGAACCCAGGGGCCTTGTATCAAGAAAGTTTTGCTTAAACGTGTCTACAGGAGCCAGTGGGGGCCTCAGGAGAAGGGGGCACTGCTTTATGGGGGCTGGGGAGCATCAGAAAAGTAGGTAGATGTTGGGGTGATGGTCAGGGAGCAGGAGACACGTCCACAGGCATCTAAAGTTACTACTGGGGGTGGGCGTTGGAGAACAGGGTGAGGGAGAGGGAACCTGACCCGGGTCCTGTTTGAAAAACCACCTTTGAAGGATGTGCCAGGTGTGTGGGGAAGGCAGGTGTGGAGTGTCTTGTGGTGCTATGCTGCCTGCTGCTTTTGGGTCAAGATGGTGGGGAGGGGGCGGAGGGTCAGAGAAAGGGGCAGAAGAGCGAAATAGCTCATGGTTTCCAAGTCCTGCAGGGGACCTAGGGGGGCCCAGCCCTCGCTCAGCACAGCTCCTGCTTCCAGCAGACTTGAAGGAGGAACTGCGGGGGTTGCCTGCGTCAGCGCCCTGCTGACAGCAGCTGCCCCTGGGTTCTGAAGAGCCCTGGGCTTTTATTTTTTTCTACGATTACAGAAGTATTAAGTAATGTTGTCAACATTAAACCCTGCAGGCGGCCCTGGCCAGGTGGCTCAGTTGGTTGGTGCGTCATGCTGTACATCAAAAGGTTGCAGGTTCTATCTCTGGTCAGGGCACATACCTAAGTTATGAGTTTGATACCCGGTTGGAGTGCGTGCCGGATGCAGCCCATCAGTGCTTCTCTCTCACGTTGATGTTTTTCTCTCTCTCCCTTCCTCTCTGTCTAAAAATCAATAAAAAACATATCCTTGGGTGAGGATTAAAAAAAAGCAGATACACTTTTTTTTTTTTTTGAGAGGGGGGAAGAAAGGGAGAAAGAACCATTGATAGTGCGAGAGAAACATTGATCAGTTGCCTCTCATAAACTCCCTGACTGGGGACCCAAACCCACAACCCAGGCATGTGCCCCAACCAGCGACTCGTCACCTTGTTGAATGATGCCCAACTGAGCCACACCGGTCAGGGCTTCGATGTATTTTTTAATGTGGGAGTCCTTCATTTCTCCGTCTCCCCCCTGCACGTTTCTCTTGACTCCATATAGGGAACCAGAGGGTGGTGTCGTTCAGAAATGTTTTTTGTGCTTTTGCAGATATAGCCTCCCCCTTTTTTACTTTATGGAAATAGGATCCCAGTGAGGCTTCATCCCTCCTACCCTTGAGATGACCTTGGCCGTGAAATGGCAATCTAGAGGAAGCCTTTCACTCCGTAGAGGAAGGAACAGGTCCAGAGAGTGATAGCGACTTTCCCACTTGAAGCCAGTGGAAGATCCGGGACCAGAACACAAACCCACCAACCCATCAGCTAGGTGCTGTAGAATAGTAACGAGATGAGTGAGACTTTTAAAGAGCAGATGGCTTAGAGGTGCCTGGCTTCTGTGTAGGGTGTTTTTACAAAAGCTTCACAGACAAGAGAGCCAATTAGCGTCCCACTGAAATCCAGTAAGCTGTCTATGCAACTCTTGCAGATGAACAAGTCAAAGCCCAGAGACGGCAAGGAACTTTTGTCAGAAGTGTGTACAGTGTGTGTGGTCAAACCGCTGGAATCTCGGTCACCCATTTCTACTGTGTGAAGAGGCTAAACAGCAGCTGGGCCCCGGGCAAATGCTGCCTAGGCAGCTGCGGACATTAATTAGGATGGGCTCCACCGGCTGAACCGTGAGGTTTGTGGGCAGTCTCAGAGCTGAGCTTCTGTTTGTATCAACCTCCTGTCCCAACGGTGGTTTCTAAGCAGCTGCAGAGAGCATCCTGCCAGTGGGAGCTGACGTAGCTGGCTCCCTTGGAGGTGGTAGTGTGAGGAATTTTGTTGACACAAAGGAACACTTCCCTCCAATCGGGGTCCGTTAGAAAATTCTTCCTGAAGGTTTCTGGGAAGAGAAGACCCTCCTTGGCCACCTGGACCATGCCTCTAAATCAGCAGTGACATGCGATACAGGAACTCAACCTCCAGCCAGATCGCTGTTTCCCCCACGAGGAGGCAAGGGTTGGGTTGGACGATGTCTGAATTTCAGAGAGACTCTGGGATCACTTCTCACGCGCCCACGAGTGCAGGATCGCGCAGGGGCAGAGGGCGATTTCTCTCCTGTCACACGAAACACGTACATCTCACTTGAACACCTAGTGTGCCCTAGTGCCGAACACCACCATCACGTCACATGCACACTCGAGTGAGCATCAGAGCGGGGTTCCTGCTTCTACTCCCGATCCTGGCACCGGCAAGCGTGGGACGGGCTGGAAGGGTTGCAGAGCACGGGTCTGCGGGGCCGGGACGAACCCCCCCCCCATCTCCGAGTGGGGGTGTGCCTGGGCTCCTCCCCGCCCCTCCTACCCTTGAAGCCCAGGACTCGGGTCTAGTGCCCACCGGCCAACACATCACCAGCACACCGGGCCTCGCGAGGCCCCGCGGGAGGGGAGGTCAGCCCGCCTACCCCGGCTATTGGCTCTGAGAACAAAGGGGCCGCCCCGAGGGCTTCTACGGTAGGGCCCCGCTGGTCATCTGAGCGGCGCGGCCAATCAGATGGTGGGGCGGCCCTGGGGATGGCCAGGCCCTCCAGCCAATCAGGAGCGTGCGCCTGTCCCTCCTGCCCGCATCTGGCGGGGCCCGGGAGCCCAGTGCCCAGGTCTCCCCGGGTGGCAGTTCCCGTTAACCTTAGCCTCAAAGTCAAAGGTATTTATCCCGTCCCCTCCCTCCGAGTCCCTCAGAATCCGGGCGGGGAGGGGCGTGCGGAGGGACGGACTGTGCTGTGGGGCTGCTGCCCGGCCGCTCCTCCCGCGCTGCCTCCACCCAGTCCCGGGCTGGAGGCGGCCTCGGGGGTCCCCTGAATCCCCTGTGCTCCGGCCGAACTTTCTCCACCCCCACACAGCCCGTGGGGACAATGGCCCGGGTTGTGCATGGGAGGGGCTGCAGGCCGGGGCTGAGAGCAGGAGGGTGCCGGCGAGGGCGGGAGGAACCTGGTGGTAAACCGGGGCACTGTCCTAATGGTCTCCCAGGAAGACCGAGCTTCTGCAGGGCAGGAATCCCAGTGCTCGCAGCAGAATGACGCATGGGCGCCTAATAAATCAGCAAACGAGTGCGGATAAGGATGGGGGTGAGAACAATGAGAGGGAAGTACCACAGAAATTGGAAGCGTGTGTGTAGGGGTCTCCTTGAAACCTCCATTCCATGAAAATGGGCACAAGAGTCAAGATCGCCATTGGGGTCGGGTAGAAGCTGGGGGCTTCTTCCCCGTATAGGTGGAGGATATAGAGATGAAGCGTGCTGCAGCCTTTCGGGACGGAGCCTGGAGTTAGCCTGGAGTTGGGTCTTGGTCAGCCAGAGCCGGTGTTGGGTGTGGTCAAAGCCCTAGAGGCTGGGGTTGGGGACAGAGGGACAGGACACATCCAGGCAGTTCTCTCTGGGCCCCTGCGTTCATCAGTCAATGAAGACATTAGAGGATATCAGTCTCCTTTCAACTCTAAGGTGCCGCGATTCTGTAAATTGTTTTAGACTTACATTTCTTTTATTTAAATGTTCCTTTATGAAAATGGTCAGCCATGGTTTACAGCACTTGGAGCCTTGTGCTGGGTGTTGGGGAGAGAGAAACACTTCCTGTGTTAAGGTGTTTACAGTCTTATTGTGGAGACAGACAAACTTACTACTGTGCCGTGTGGATGGTGCCAGGTGGTGGGAGAACAGGTCAACCAGAGATGGGCCCCTCACTGAGCCTGACACACCCAAAGAGCTTCCTGGCCGCAGTGATCCCTGATCCGGGTCGGACAGGACTATTGCAGAGCTGGACACAGGTGTGTCACCACATGGCAAGGTCAGAAAGCCACAGAGTGGGACAGTGGGGCAGGTTGGGGTGCAGTGAGTAGAGGTGAGCAGAGGCCAGGCTTTTAATGGTCTTGAGAAGAAAGTTTTAGCTGACCTTGAAGGTGTTGAGGACCCACTGAACGAAGTATTCTGAGTGAAATAGAAACATGTCCAAGTTGTAGTTTTAGGAAAATCGCTTTGAGTTCTGGTTGGACGGGCAAGCTAAGCTTTGAAAGGGGCAGAGTGTGCAGGGGAGAAGGGGGGAGGCCTGACCTGAGGCAGGGGCAGTGGGGGGTCTGGAGGTATTAAAATGGCTCTGGTGTGACTTAGTGACCTCTACCTTGTGGGTTTTGTACTCCAGGGTAGAGAAGGTGATGGGCTGATGAAGACCCATTGTCCCCTCTGGGGAGGCAAGGGAGGTCCAAGGCCAAGTGCAGAGCACAGTGGAGGTGGTCTGGCCCACGCACCTGCCCTGGAAAAGGTTAAGCCGAGGAATCCCAGGTTTCCTGGGGCAGAGGGGCCTGGGGGGAAGAGCAGGCTCAGGGTGTGCAGAAGGCGGAGACCTGACGTCTAGCTCTTTGAGGCAGAGAATGTCACCTCCCGGCAGCTTTCCTCATCTGACAAGGAGGAAGCGCTTCCTCCGTTTCCCGAGCTCCTTTGAATGAAGCAGAGACTAAGAAAGTATTTGTAGATCAAAATGTGATGCCAGCTTAGTGTTGGGAGCAGTTGGTTTTGTCCCTGGCCTTGGGATCAGGCAATGGGGGTCCTAGGCCCCAGCAGGCTCCTGAGGCCTGGACTCGGGGTGCAGGAATGTGGGTGCTGCTCTCTCCTCTAAAGGGGACAAGGAGTGGGTGTGGGGCTGACGTGGGGGCAGGGAGGTGGGGGTGGGTCGGTACCAGCAAAAGTTTGCATGTAAAGCCAGTGGAGGCAGAAGTCCTGGAAGGAGGTGGCACAGCGATGGGCCTGCAGTCCAGTCAGGGACCTCCAGGAGGTGGTCCGGCAGGATGACCGGGCTGCCCGTGGACCTGGTTCCCTGGGCAGGTGGGTAGGTGCAAACCGAGGTCACTAAACAGGGCCCTTCCTACTGGGGAGACCCGGCGGTACAGTTCCTACAAGGCAGGGAGTGGGGAGGGAAGTGGCTACAGCCGAAAAAGAATTTATCTCGCACCTTGGGACCATTTCTGAGTCTTTTCAGAGTGTTCCTCCCATTTGATATTACAATTCTGTGCACAGGAGCAAGCATTCTCTGCATTTGCAGATGGGGAAACTGAGGCCCAGGGAAGGAAAGCAGCTGGCCTTGGGTCACATGGCTTGCCAGAAGCTCTCAGCACCGCCACCCCATCCTGGGCCCTTTCTGAGAGCGAGGAAGGTGGAGAGGAGGGAGTTGATCTTGAGGAGCAGAGAGGAACATTGGGCGGGACCCCGGGGCCGGGGAGCCCTGTGGGAGTTGTGGACCGATGCTGGGTGTGGGATGGAGGCTGGCCTTTAGGTGTGGGGTGATGCTCACCTGTCCTGGCAGGACCTCCGGGCCTACTCGTGTGTCCATGAGCGTGGCCCAGGCAGCAGTTGCCCTGTGCTTCCCAGAACCTTTTAAAGCCACTTGGCAGCTGACTTGCACGGCCTTCTTGGTCCTACATGCTGGATGACAGGAGGCTGCGAGGTCTCTGGGGCCGGGGACAGGAGACTGATGGTTGGAGAGGGAGCCAGTTGTCCAGAGGCCAGCCAGGCAACAGGCCGCATGCTGGTGGGCCTGTGTGGGACTGGTCCTGTGGGGGTGGGGGGAGGCCTGAGGGCTGTGGAATGGGCCTGGGAGATTAGGCTACACTGGTCCCCTCCCCCCACCAAAGTCTGTGGTGACTCCTCTGAGCCGAGCCTTTGAGCCTCTGGCCATCAGAAGCTTCTAAGTCCAGCCACCCTGCCTGGGCTTAGCGTTTTCCTTGCCACAGCGTCTCCACTTGGTCGAGCACCCCCACGGGTCCAGAGGAGCCCCTCCTCCCACCACACCAGGCTGGCGAACGGTGAAAGCTGTGTCCTCGCCCTCGTCCTCCCACAAGGGCAGTCCACCTTGGTGGCAGGGTTCGGGGTTACTCTGTGGGTGCTGGGGCCTTTGAAGACCCTGACACTGCTTGAAGAATTGTGGTTTAGGGAGAGTGAGTGGCAGTGGAGGCGTTTGGAGACCTAGAAGATGTGGGTGTGGCCTGTTCTCAGGCCATGATGACGGGAGGGAAGAGACACCGTTTATGGGGTTCAGGAAGGGTGGTGTTTGCACAGGCTGCCCTCCCCGCGTGCTCACACCAACCTGCGGAGCAGGTATTTTCATTCAGCCTCACCATCCGGAACCGAGGCCTGGAGGTGGCGTGACTTGCCTAGGACAGGTGGGCTGGACCTCTGGAACTTGAGCTCGACCTCCAAGGGGAGACTGGGCTGAGGAGCCAGCCCTGGGGGGGCTCAGGTTCATGGCTACTGCCCCTGGGGCTGACCCCTGTGGGTCTGGCCTGGGGAGGGTCTCTTGCTGCTCCGAGCTGGTAGGGCTTTCTGCCCCTGCCCCGGCTCCCCCCCAGCACTGGCCTCATGCCACCCCCGTGGCCCCAGCTCAAGTGAGCCAGCAGGTGACTGTCCCCATCGCACTACCTATGACCTCTGCCGGCCGCTTCCCGGCTCACTGTGGGCGCTTCGCTGCCATTCCCACCTCCCGCCTCCCTGAGTTTGTTCCTTGAGGCAGCGGGCTGGTTGGGATGGTCAAGGCCGCGTGGGGACGCTTTGTCAGCGTGGATGTACGTTTCTGTGTCCACCAGGGCGCTGTGGGGTGCCCCGTTGCCCCCCGGAACTTGGTGATCGTGGACGTGTAGCTTTAGCCCCATGTGGCTGTTGAGCACCTGAAATGTGACCAGTGTGACCAAGAGCCTGAATTTTTAGTTTCACTTGTATCAGTTCAAATAACCACTCGTGAGTGTAGAAACCAGACTCCTGAAAGTGGGGATCCGGGGGTCCCCTTCAGTCCCTGCTCCCTGAGCAAACAGCCTGGCTCTTCACCGAGAGGGCTCTGAGGGGTGAGAGGGGTGATGCTTGCTGCCTGCTTGTTGCACAGTCAACGCTCCCCACTGGCGGCTCCGCCCTGACCCTGTTGGGGTCTGGGCAGACCAACGTCCAGGTGTCAGGGGAGCGTCCCTCTCCCCTCGGCGAATGAGGTAGGAGAGCAGAACCCCCACAGCTGGGGGTCAGCTGAAACCCCTCAGGTTGCCCATGCAGGTCTGGGCTGCAGCCTGGGGTCTGACCTGTGGGTTCACCTGGCGGATCAGGACGGAGGAAGTGAGCCTGCCGGCAAGGGAGCCGGCACCACCGAGGAGACGGGCAGAGGGTGGGCCGGCTGGATCCGAGCACGCGGCAGGCAGCAGGGTACGGGAGGGTGGGCGAGGCGCCTGGGCTGGGTGGCGTGCACCAGTCAGTGGTTGGGAGAAGTGTAGTTGAGAGAAGGGTAGTGGTAGTGAAGTGTGGCAACCCGGATGGGGCGGGGGACCGAGGGGCAGAGGGGGGTCAGTGAGATTGGGGGGGGGTCCCTGGGGAAGACTGTCTCCTGCTCATGGTTTCCCTGGGGGGGCAGCATTGTTGGTACAAGTGAGCAGTGGGGGACGGTGGACACCTGGGGCAGCCCTGCGGGGGGTGGGGCATCTCATGGCCGAGCAGGGCCTAGGAGCTGGGCCTTTGGCTGGGGTGCAGGGAGATACCGCCCCTCAAAGTGTCAGCTCCTGGCGGAGGGCATGTGGCCAGTCCCTGCCGCCCAGGTGACAAAGGACTAGTAGGTGCCATCCACTTCTTCCCCACCTGGGGTCTGAGTCTGGGAAGAGAGATGTGCGAGGCTGGTGGAGAAGGTCCGGGGGCCAGGCTTGGGAGGGCGTGGGGAGGGGACCTGGACCCGGCCCCGCACTGTGGCCTTTCTCCTCGGCCCAGCTGCTGTCCGCCGCCTTCCCGCCCCAGAGTTTCTGCTAAGACCAAAGCCCCTTTGTCCCTTTCCCCCGCCCCAGACCTCCCCACCTGCCACAGGCCACAGTCCCTGCTTTGTGTGGTCTGGCAGTCGTCACGACAACTGCCCCAGCAGTGGCCTTCTGGGCCAGGGGGCTCTCATCCCCAGGACACTCTGACCCCGCGTGGGAAGGGTTGGCCCAGGGCCAGGGGCTGCGAAGGGGGTGGTGGACAGGGCCCTGTCCTAAGACCCGCTCTCCATGGAGTTTGCAGGGCAGGCAGGGGAAGGTCACTGGCGAGTGGGGTCCGGTGGCCTTCAGAGGCTCAGTCTGGGCAGTTCGGGGGGTGGTGGATCGGCCCCTGTGGCCTCCTGTCCCCTGGCTGGGGCACTGTGCTGGGTGGGCTGCTGGCTGGGTCCCCGGGCGTCTCGGGTCAGCCGAGTGGTGCGTCAGGTGGGGTGAGGCTGGGGGGTGGCAGAGCAGGCGTGGAAGGTGGGAAAGGCACAGCTCAGGGCGGGTGTAGCTGGCGGCCCAGCTGGCCTGGCAAGGTGCAGCTGCGAGGACGGACTGCCCCGGGCTTGGCCGTCTCCGGGTTTGTGTGCAGGACACTGGCTGGCCTGTTTTCCAGACAGCCCACCTGAGCACACAGGTGGAGGGGACCCCCCCAGGATGTGGCCTGTCTGCCCCCCATTCCTGTCCACAAACCCCTGCTCTCTCGTTCTTAGTTCTTCCCCTGGGACACATGACGGTCCCCTTCCTTCCGTGTCCACTTCTGTCTTAGACCACGAGCCCTCGTGAGCCCACGTGTGACTCGGGGACGCGGGAGGGGCTGCCCTGGTCGTTCCTTGTCAATTTATCACTCAGAATTGAAGCCTTTCTGCCACCTGAGGTGATTTTTAGGTACTAACATCTTTTGGAAGGCAGAGTGGGACAAGGGGGACGGACTTGATGAGGTGCAGGGGCCCCTCGGTTGGGTCCCCGGCAGAGATCTGGGCAGGACACCCCGGGCAGAGGGGCAGCCAGTGCAGAGTCCAAGGCGCCCCAGCTGCGCGGCCTGTCCTGGGTCTGCTCTAGGCAGGCAGTGAGCCCATCAGGGAGTGGGCCGATGGTGTGCTGACGAACACGGCGAGCCCTGGCAGGCGGACTCGCAGCTCGCTGGGGGAGCTCCCTGGGGGGGGGCGGCGCCTGGTCACAGACAGGGACTTGGGGGGGATGTGGCTTTGTAGGGACAGTCCTACCTTCTGGGGGTCCACAGGCCTGTGAGGCCACTAGCTCCTTGGAGTTTCTCCTGCTCAGCGCCCCTTACATCTGGCCTGCAGGTGCTCAGAGCCTGGGCCGGGCTCTGGGAGCCAGAGGCCCGGGACCTTGCCCCGCCTCACCACTGAGCCTCCGACCTGGGGCAGGTCCACAGCCCTGTGTGACCTCAGGTTCCTCTTCGGAAAGTGGGAATCAGGCCGTGGGACCTGCCTAGCAGGCGCGTGTGCGATGTAAAAATTCCCGCACGTTTCATTGGAGGTCGCAGGTGTGGAAGCTCTTGACAAAGGAGGAACGGGCTCTGTGAGGGCCCGGAGGCCCTTCCATCTTCTCCCCACTGGCCAACTCTGTTTCCTTTGTCCCCATGTCACCCGCAGACGGAGCCGGGGCGCCGCGCTGATGCCGAGGGGCCTCTGGGATGGAGAGTGGCCTGGCCGGTGCCAGTGCAGGTGAGAGCAGCTGGAAGGGCAGGAGCCGCCGCAGCCCCTCCCCAGGCCCGCCTTGTGTGTCCCTCCGAAGCCCAGCGTGAGTCACTGCCCTCACTGGTAGCGGAGAGAGTGCTGAATGGCAGGACCCTGAAGGGTCACATCGAAGAACGGGACAAAGACAGGTGGGGGGAGCTGTGAAAACAGCAAAGGGCAGCAAGGGAACACACACATTCACACGCACGCACACATGCACAGGTGCACACACACCCTGAGGTGGAAAGTGAGGTGTTTGGGAAGTCGTTCATGGTGGTCGTGACGGCCAAACACTGAGCCAGGGCTCTGGGCCGGACGAGGGGTTAGAACAGGCCAGGGGCCCGGGGGCCACTCAAGGGTCACAGCCAGGACCCGTGGGTCCACCTAGAGCCTGTCTTGAGGGCGCACAGCTGTCTCAGGTGTGGTTCTTCCAGGCGTGCGCTGCTGTGAGTGGGAGGTGTCCCGTGTGGTCACTGCATCTGGCACTGCCTCTGTCACAGCCCAGCGGGCATGGCTGCCCTGACACCCGGGGGTGGGGGGCCAGCTGCCGAGCGGCGCTGGCCTAGGAGAGGGCGCAGGGTCCTTCCTCGGGATCCCTGCCTCCCAGCACTTGGCACAGCGACTTAACCAGGTCCCTTTACATCCCCTCTCCTCTTGGGGAGTCGTGGCCCATGTACCCCGGAGCCCCTCCCCTCCCACGGTCATCACTGCCGTGGACCTGAGACAGAGACCAACATGGGGGCCAGGGTGAGGAAGCAGCGAGGCAGCTGGCTCAGAGGGGCGGCGTGCTGTGTGGGCTTCCAGTCTGTCTGTCCCTCACCCATGGCCTGCAGGCTGTCACTGTGACTGCTGAGAGCACCAGTGTGTGTGTGTGTGTGTGTGAGTGTGAGTGAGAGATGCTGATGTCACCATAATTACAGTAAAACCCGGGTCGGTTCCAGCTGTTGTAGCAGAAGGAGCCTTTGTCCCAGGCAAACCCACGAGCGGAACCCTGATTTGTAGGTGAGAGGCGAGTCTGCCAGGGCCCCTCCCCCCTCTGCAGCACTTCCGGGCTGCCCGCTGGTCTCAAGGGAGAGAGGCACACACCAGCCTGGACCCTGGAGGCACCGAGGGAGGCTCCCAGGGGCTGGGCCGCCCTGGGGCTGCAGCCGCGGCTCCTGCCACTGGCTGGCCGGGCCCGGGCGTGGCTCTTCCTGGACGGCCACAGTTTTGAGATCTCTGAGAGGTAACCTCTATTAAGTACCCTTTCCCTTTTTTGTCAGTGTTACGTTTTTTTTGCAAATTGTGGTGAAACAGCATGAAACACACACGGGCATGAAACGTACCATTTTAACCACCGTTAAGGGTGCAGTTCAGCAGCGTTAGGCTCATTCACACTGTTGTTGTACCATCATCACCACGGCCTGTTTCCAGAACTTTTTTTTTATCATCCTAGACACCCTGGACTCAGCGAGCAATGGCTCCCCATATAAAACTTCGCTGTTTTATCCGCACCATTTAGAATGGCTTTACACTGATCCTCTCTCTGACGATGCAGGCCCTGCCTTTGTTTCCCCGCTCCTGCCGGGGGCAGCTGAGGCCTGATCCCCAAGGGAAGGTGCCAGTGGAAGCCCCGGCCCACGCACTTCACAGGGTCCACACACCGTCCCCAGGCTCCAGGGCCTCCTCACACAGCCCGGCCACTCGGGGCCGCCTTCCCCAGGTGTCACGTAGTTGGAGTCACACCGTAGGTGGGCTTCCAGGTCGGCTTTCACCTGGTGAAATGCATCGAAGTTTCCTCCATGACTTTTCATGGCTTTAATAGTTCATTTCATTTTAGTGCTGAGTAAATACTCCCTTGTCAAGATTTTATTTATTTATCTTTAGAGAGAGGGGAAAGGAGGGAGAAAGGGAGAGAAACATTGGTGTGAGAGAAACTTCGATCCATCGCCTCTGCATGCAGCCCCTACCGGGGACCAGGCACGTGCCCTGACTGGGAAATGAACTGGCGGCGTGAGCAGGTTACCGGAACCCAGAAGTCCCCCCGCCACCCCCTTCCATCACAGTGCCCTTTGGAGGGGCCCACGGCCCTGGCACCTGACCCACCCATTAGTTCTGCCAGCTGTTGAACTTGGCATAAAAGGAATCACTTGGTATGTATTTCATGTCTGCGGCAGACCTGTCCCTTCAGGCCGACGTCCATGAGCCAGTGGACAGAGCACCCCTGCAGACCAGAGCAGCTTGCATGCAGGGTGCTGGGGAGTAAGGGGCCTGGGTTAGTACAAGGATGAGGCGGCACCTGTTCAGGGTGCTGAGGCCTTTCCGGCAGACTTTCTCGTTCTTGGTTTTGTTGAGGAAGAGTGAGGTCACCAAGCAGCCACGGTCCAAGCAGGTGAGGTGCTCTGGTGCTGTAGCCGCTGCTGCCCCGGGGAGGGCCTGGTATGGATGTGGGCCCCGGCCAGCCAGCCACAGAGGAGCTGGGCATAGGCTCACTTTAGTGCGGTGAGTCCTCAGAAAAAGCACAAGACATTTGAACGTGGCCATGGCCTGCTCTCGGGCGGAAAGACCCCACCGAACCTCAGGCAGAGCAGGGCCAGCCTGCTCTGCTGCCCCCCAGGCCCCAGCCTGCCCCTGTCCCGCTCTCCCTCCTTCCCATCTGCTTCCTCTTCTCCACCCAAGTCTTATTTTCTGCTGTGCTCTGCCCTCCCGGTGAGTCATTCCCCCACCTCTGTGAGCAGGGACTGACTCCCCGTCCTCTCTCCCTTTGTCTGGCAGCAGGAGGGCTGGTGGTGAAGATCAAGCAAGAGAAGCCCGAGCGGCTGCTGCAGACCCTGGCGCCGCCGGCCGCGCCTTCCAAGAAGGATAAGGAGAACATTTTCCAGCGGCCCCTGGGCCTCCGGCCATGCCAGACCACGGGGAAGACCCGGTCCTTGGTGGGACAGGAGGAGACTGGGGGTCCCAGGTGGACCCCTGCCACTGAGCAGGACGTGGGGTTGGCTGCCCGCGTTCCAGGGGCAGCCCCCGGCCCCCTGAGCCCCGCCTTTTCTGCCGGCGAGGGCCACTTCGTGTGTCTGGACTGTGGGAAGAGGTTCAGCTGGTGGTCGTCCCTGAAGATCCACCGGCGCACGCACACGGGGGAGAAGCCGTACCCGTGCGGCAAGTGCGGCAAGAGCTTCAGCCAGAAGCCCAACCTGGCGCGCCACCAGCAGCAGCACCTGGGCGAGCGGCCCTTCTGCTGCCCCGAGTGCGCTCGGCGCTTCAGCCAGAAGCAGCACCTGCTCAAGCACCAGAAGACCCACTCCCGGCCCGCCACCTACTCGTGCCCGGAGTGCGAGCGCTGCTTCCGCCACCAGGTGGGCCTCCGCATCCACCAGCGCGCTCATGCCCGGGACCGCCAGGGCGCCCGCGCCAGGCTGCCCGAGCTGCTCCGGGACGCCGCGGCCCGCCGGGGCTGTCGCCTGCGCCCTGGGACGCCGCGGGGGCGCCCGGAGTGGGCGTGGCTGGGGCTCTGCCAGGGCTGGTGGCGCCAGGTGGGGCCCCAGACCGACGTCCCGGCAGCCACCCCCACTTCCGGGCAGGGTGAGCAGCGCCAGTTCATCTGTAGCGAATGCGGTAAGAGCTTCACGTGGTGGTCGTCGCTGAACATCCACCGGCGCATCCACACGGGCGAGCGGCCCTACCCGTGCCCCGAGTGCGGCCGCCGCTTCAGCCAGAAGCCCAACTTGACGCGGCACCTTCGCAACCACACAGGCGAGCGGCCGCACCCCTGCCCGCACTGCGGCCGCAGCTTCCGCCAGAAGCAACACCTGCTCAAGCACCAGCGCACGCACCTGCCCGGCGCCCAGGCGGCTCGCTGCCCCAGCTGCGGCCAGACCTGCGCCAGCCGCGCGGCGCTGCGGGCCCACCAGCGTGTACACGAGGGTACCGCTACTGCCCAGCTGCTGTACCCTGGGCCCGCCGTGCTGGGCGACGAGCCACAGACCCAGGTCGTCCCAGGCCGGTCGACGCCACCGTGCAGCTCTCCAGCGGCCCGGGGATCCGGGGACGTGCGGTGGGGCGGCATGCGTGCAGACCTGCCCGGGCCCGGGGAGCAGCGCCCGTTCATCTGCAGCGAGTGTGGCAAGAGCTTTTCATGGTGGTCGGCGCTCACCATCCACCAGCGCATCCACACGGGTGAGCGGCCCTACCCGTGCCCCGAGTGCGGCCGCCGCTTCAGCCAGAAGCCCAACCTGACGCGGCACCGGCGCAATCACACCGGCGAGCGGCCTTACCTGTGTGCTGCCTGTGGCCGCGGCTTCAGCCAAAAACAGCACCTCCTCAAGCACCAGCGCGTGCACCGAGGGACCCTGGCGCCCACTCCCAGCGTCAAGGAGGAGGAGCTTTAGTGCACCTGGACCCAAGGGGACCTGTGAAGGGTGTGAGCAGGGGTGCCTGTGGGCAATGGCCAGAATGGTGGCTTCCACAGCACCAGGGAGTGCGACCCTATCAAAGGGTCCAAGGGCCTGATAGCAGAATTCCAGAAGCATCCCAAAGGGGAACCTTGAAAGGTGCGGTAGGCCAAGGGAGCAGTGAGATCGGCAGTGAGGGATCAGATCAGATCCCTCACCCTGGAGCCAGATTTGTCCCTGATGTGGGTGGAGGGCTAGCTTGACACTTCCTAGGTGGGACCCCAGCCCCCAGGCCCTGGGTGAGGGCCTGCTGGGGGCTCCGGGAGAGGCTTCCCCGTGTGACATGGCCTGGGTCTGAACTGCCAGCTCTAACACCAGCATGGCTCGGGGCGTCTGGGCTGGACTCAACAGACTCGGTACAGGAAACGGCTTGGGGGGGGGGGCCCGGGGCCATTCAGCATGGAGCTTTGGCAGGAGCCAGGGGTTCTCTGGTTCTCAACCCCGAGTGCCCCACTGTGCTGTGGCCCTGACCCTTGGACTGGTGTGTGTGATGGTCAGGGCCTGGGGCACAAGGTGGGTGGTCTCAGCTGAGGTTCAGTGGCCTGGGGAGGGGCCTGCAGCTGGGAAGAGCTGGTGTGCTGCTCCGCCCCGTGGGCCGGGGCGCGCCAGATGGCTGGCTGGCATCAGTGGCCGTGTTGCAGAGGGAAAAATGAAGGATGAATGGTCTCACGTGGTCTCATTGTCCTTTTTTACGCTTCCCTTCCTGAACTCCGGGCCTGCGAGGGCTCCGAGGGGTCCGTTTGTTTGCCCAGGACCGGGACAGAGAGCGTTGGCCGTGAACTCAGCAGCTCCCGTGCCCAGTGCTCTCCCCTCTTCCTGCACAGCGCGATCTCTTCCCACACACTCCTCCGCCCACTGCCTCTCAGGCTTTTCCAAAGCAGGGGCGGCTGGGGCCCTGGTGCTGACAGAAGAACCCAGGGCTTCAGTGTCTTCCCTCAGGAGGGGCGGGAACTGTGGAGAAGGGTGCGAGTTGGGGTGCCAGAGTTGGGTGGGTGGGAGGAAGAGGGGGTTCCTCGATTCTGTAGGAGGATGAACTGCGTCTGCCCGCCTCTCGGGCTTGCAGGGCGGCGGGTGGGAGGGGCTGTGACTCCAGAGACGAGCTGCCTCCTCCAGGAGCAGCTGTCTTCACCCTGGCTCTGCTCGCCCAGTCCAGGGTCTGTGCAGCCCCTTTCAGCCGGCAGGGGCTCCACCTGCAGCATCACAGAAAGACGCGTGGAGGCGCTGATCCAGCGTGCCTGGGTAGCACGGCACTGGTAGATGTTAGCGTTCAGCCAGGGCTCCGACTTGTGGTCATCTCAGGTCACACACCATGTGTGCGACACCTTATAGCTGGGCAGAGTGGCCCACTGGAGAGGTCAGCTCTCAGGACCAGCTGGAAGCTAAATCAGAAGGGTTTTCCTAGGCCCCCTCTCTGACCCTCAGCGGCCCTAGAAGCGCCTCTCTCTCTCTGCCATGCCTGCCTGGCCCCTCCCCTCACCACCTGTGGTGCTCAGAGAGGCCAAGGGCCTCATCAAAACCCACTTTAGCCTTGGTGAAGGCTCAAGAGTCATTTGCTGCTGCTTTGCTGACTTGAACGAACCCACCTCCTCCAGGAAGGCATCCTGGAGTACCATGCCTCTAGAGAGCCACAGTTGCAAAAATGGACCTGCAAAACACCGGAGCCTGTGCAACCGGGTGCCTGAGAGGCTGGGCCGGCGGGTCCTGCAGAGACAGGCTGGGGAGTTTCTGTGCCATAGCTTGTGTCATCTTCCGCGAGTGGCCTGCATTCAGCCATCGTGTCATGTCGTCAAACAACCCTGCTGGTAGGACTCCGGGTTCATGAGGCCTAATTGCAGCTTTCCCCTCTGAGCAGAGTCAAGAGATCGGTCCCTGACCCCAGGTGACTGATCCTCTTGCAAATGGTGCTTTGGGTCACAGTGAGGACACGGCCACATCCATCAGGATGAAGCATTACTGAGGTGCATGCCCCTCTGACCAGGTTGGGGATGACGTGGCACTGAACCACGAACCGAGCCTGGTGCGTGACAGGCACTGCGTCAGGTTCCCGGGACGCAGTGAAGAGTGAGCCCCTGGGGTAGTCGGCTCGGGTGGCTGACTCAAACCGCAGTCTGGAGGCTGGGAGGTCGCAGACCAAGGTGCTGGCAGGTTTGGGTCCTGTGAGGGCTTGTTCTGCCTTGAGGATGACCACCTTTTCTGTGTCCTTACATGGAGGCGGGGTGCGGGAGAGAGCTCTGGGCCACAGTGCTGTGGTCTCTCTTCTTACAGCGACACTGATCTCATCAGGAGCAGCTTCATGCACACCTAACTGCCTCTCCAAGGCCCCACCGCCAAATGGCCATCACAGTAGGGGGCAGGGCTTCAAAATATGGATTTTGGGGGGGGTGCAATTCCATCAGTAGCAATCACAGTCTCCTCCCTGGAGGAGCCTGCAGACCCTCACCAAAAATCGCTTCAATACACACATGCATTGGAATAATCTATACAGTCAGGTCCTGAACAGGTGGGCCTGGCCCTGGCCCTCTCAGCGAGGCTGGCATGTTCATCTCTTTAGCTGCCCCACAGGGCAGCAAGCTCAGCGGCAGTGATACAGGAGAGGGGGATGGGGACGGTGGCACCTGTCCACCAGGCCATGTTGCCAGTGGATGGGTGGGTCCCAGCCTCCCGTTAGCCTTCGCCTTGTTCACTGTCTCCATCACAGGCTCCTCCAAGGGAGCCCTGGCCTCATCAACTTCCTTTTACTTTAAAATAATGAAACTAGGTCACAGAATATTCAGGAAGAGGCACGTTGTAAAATCAAAGACAAGAAGGTCGGACCTATCCTGGCGGATCATAATTCAAAATTCTCAGGAGCGCGCTGAGATTAGAGGTGGCCGAGGGGAACAGAAAGCCGCCGCAAGTAAAGAAATCAAAATCTGAAGGACCTATATCCTGTCTGTGGCCGGGTGGGTGCGGGTCTACGGTGGGGCCCGTGAGCCTGGTGAGCTGGGGCTCTGGGGCCGCCAGTGTCCTCCTTGTATTCAGTGTTAAGGGCAGGCTGGGAGCCGAACAAATGACTTAGGTCCTCAGGAAACGGCTGTGCTCTAGCGAACACCATGAAGTTCAAGTCAGCCTCCTTGGGAGGGATTGGTTCGCCACCACCCAGCCCCAGGGAGAGGGCTTGGAGGCCCAGACCAGGGGCTGCTGCCCAGCACCTCAGGGAACCCTGAACCTGGAGACAGTGGGACCAGCAGAGACTTGGCCTTGAGCGCCTGCGCTGAGTGAGGGGTGCTGCTGAGACTTTTTCTTTCCTAAGTAGTCGGGTCTGGTCAAGAAACATCCTTGACCTTCTGTCAGGAGGAGCGGCACTGGGGCCGAAAATAGTATGTCCTCACATACCACGGGTCATGGGCCACCGAGCAGAAGAGAGGGGAATGGATGGTGTGTGGTAGCTTGTGTCCTGGGGTGAGAGAGGAAGGTGTCTGCTAGGTCACTCAGGTCCACAGGGGGAGGTGCTAGACCTGCTAGTCCAGCGGAACCTTCTGCCACAACGGAAGTGTCTTCTGTTTGCTGTCCAGTACCATGGCCTCCGGTCACCCGTGGGGCTTGATCTCTGGTCAGGGCACATACAAGAATAAACCAATGAATAAATAAATAAGTGGAACAACAAATTGACGTTTCTCTCTCTCTCTAAAATAAAAAAAAATTTTTAAAGATTTTATTTATTTATCTTTAGGGGGGAAGGGAAGGAGAGAGGGAGAGAAACATCAATGTATGGTTGCCTTTTGTGAGTCCCCTACTGGGAACTGGCCTGCAACCCAGGCATGTGCCCTGACTGGGAATTGAACCGCGATTGTCTGGTTCACAGGCCCGTGCTCAATCCACTGAGCTACACCAGCCAGGGCTAAAATAAAAATTTTTTTTAAAAAGTAGCTAATTAGCTGAAGAACTGAATTTTAAATTTTATTTGCTTTGAATTAATTTAAATTCAAACAGCCTCATGAGGCTATTGGACAGTGTAGGCCTAGGAATTATGCTCCTACTGAGAAGTAGCAGAAATGTCTCTCCCTGCCCCCTCCCTCCCCCTCCCCCAAATGCAGAAAGAGCTTTCTTTTGTCAGTGGGGATGGCGGATGGAGTCAGGGAGTTCTGGGGCTGGACTCTGGCTTTGCCATCGAAGCTGTCAGACTCAGTCACGTAACCTACTTAAAGTGTGTCCTACAGTGACCGGCACACAGCATGAACTCAATACGTGGTGGCCATTGTCATTGTGGTGATGACATCCTTGTCACTATTGCTGCCTGCACAGCATTGGCAGAAGCGAGAGTTGTACTGTGGACAGAGAAGGAAAGGGGTTCCCCAAACAGAGCTCAGTCCCTGGAGGGAACACACCATCCCCCATCCCCAGGGGTCCGTAGGCCTGCTGCAAGCTGAAGGGCTTGGCTGAATGGATGTGTGGATCATGTCTGGGGTCTGAGTTGAGAGGAAAGAACTTAGGAGCAGATGTGACCTCACACTCAGAGCCCCACACCTGTCCCCGGGTCTTTGCAGGTTTCCCAGCCTGAAGCTGTACCTGGGGTGCAGTTCTGCCTGCTGCTTCTCATTCCTTCCGGGCATCAGCGCCCTGGCCGGCCCTCGGGGTTGCTTGCAGACATGCGTGCGTGCGCTCACTTGGCAGGCGTGGACGGAGGGCCTAGATATGCTGGGCATCTGGGATCCAGAGATGCTGCAAACAGCTCATGCTCTTTGAAGCTCACAGCCTGGCGGTAAGACAAGAGGGCACTGGATCCCAGTCTCAAGTCGGCACAAGGAGAGGGATGTTAGTGACCAGGCCCAATCCGGGCAGCTGGGAGTGGCTTTCTGGGGGAGCACACAGGGCAGTGGCTGTTCCTCTGGTGTGCCCCCACATTTGGGGTGAGGGATACAGTGCAGGGTCCCTCTGTCCACCAGGGGTCCTCGGGCCATCTGTTCCCTTTGTGAGGGACCCCCAGTCCGGCTGGTCCATGAACCTTGTGGAACAGTGGTGACCGCCACGCTGGCCACTGGCCCTGCCTGTAGGAAGAAGCGCGGCTGCGTTCCCACGTGGCCATTCTACTGTGCTCAGCAACGCACGGGAGACGGGCGGAGGGGAGACGTGGGAGGGGGCCTGGGTATGACCCGCAGACACGAAGTGGAAACACTGAGGCAGAGCAGAGCGGGGAGGCCTCCTGAAGCCCTCGGCCAGGCCTGGCTTCCCCACTGGGGCGGGGATGAGTTTCAGGTGGGCTTGTCGGCCCGCCCCCGCCCAGCTGCGTGCCTTTCCTTTCTATGTCGGCACAGCTTATCTAGAAAATACTCCTAAAAATATGGGCGACATCCTCAGGTGTATTATTGGTTTTGCTTTTGAAAGCCTGGTCACTTATAAGTGTCCCCATTTAGCCTGCAGCAGAGGTGACCTGGAGCTGGGAGGGTGGCTGTCCCATGAGCAGAGCTCCAGCACCCGGGCACAGGCCCGTGCTCACAGGCCCGGGTGTCACCCGTGGTTAGGGGTCGTGCTGTCGAAGTCACGGAAACTCCACCCTTGGCCCTGGTCACCATCCCTCCTGCTGGACTCAGTCTTGGGCTCCCAGAATTCCCTCTGGTGCCTCAATTTGAAATTCTAGTCTCCCTGGGGCATCTGACTCATGAAATCCCACATGCCTGGGTCAGGGGCCTTTGGAGCAGTGTGGACAGGTGGCCCCCGGCCTCGGGAGGCTCAGGGTGACCAGGGTGGACTTTCTGGGAGAGGCAATCCATAGGGCAAGCTGTGAATGCTGACCTTCTGGTCTGGGGTGGGGAGTAGGGTGTGGTGTTCTGCCCTGTTGACCTTGACTTTCAGCTCCCAGGCTCCCAGGGGGGTGGGGGACCTCGTGAGGTTGGGAGAATGTCGCCTGGACGGCCACACCACCGCCTGCTGTTGGGAGCCCTGCCCTGCGGAATCCCAACTGCCTGGGCCCCTCGGAACCCCCAACTGCTCTCGTACCTGGCAGCTACGGAGGGGCCACGGAGCAGAAGGCTGGTTCATGTCCCTCTAGTGCCTTTGACTTTAAACAGTCTCTTCCCCTTCGGGGCTCGGTTTCTTCATCACGACATGCAGATCCTGGGGCATTTTCTCACTTGGGACAAGATCATCACCTCCGATCTCAGGTGTCACAGCAGGTTTCTGTTCTGGGGTCTCGGTACCAGCGTGGTTGGGGACAGTTTGCTGGGGCAGGGGGTGGGCCTGACTTCCCGGCTGGGCTCTGCCAGTCAGGGCGCTGGGTCCCGGCTGTGGGGGGCCGTGGGGAAGCCACTGGGTGCCTCTGTTTGGTTGTATTTTCCCATCTATGAAATGGGAAAATAACACCTGTATAACCTAGACGGCACACGGTGTTGGGTAGCTCCCACGGGAGAACAGCCGGGAACGGCTTTGTAGAAACACAAGGGGTGCATAGGTAAGGCGCCACAGTACTTAACGACAGTTGGGAACCGGTCAGCCCGGCTCTACCCACACCAGCTGCCACCCCTGGGCGTTAGGCCGGGTCTTGTATGAGTTATCCCTGGGCCCACTTCTGAGGAGGAGGGTGAAAATAGGGGTGTGATTTCTTCCGACCTGGCACACAGGGGGTAGGCTTTGGCAAAGCTGCCGCCTGCCCCCCTCACGCGCCCCAAAGGCTGCCTTCACCCCCTTCACTCTCCTGCCAGGGAAGGCTTCTATTTCCAGCCTCCAAACTCCTTTCCCAGGCGCTGGGGCAGTTGGTGGGCCCCGCTAGGGGAGCCCCGCCTCAGGACGAGGCGCTGCCTGTGAACTGGGGCCTCAGGAATCCTGAAGTGGGAATGGCTGGGGCTCAGCGCTGGGGAACTTGGGGTGACATTCCCGGAACCAGCCCCCACCTGGCTCCCTCTCCTGGGCGGCGGGCGCAGGACTCGCAGCCCTCCTTTCTCTGCCAGCCGGGCTGTGGGCGAGTTAGACCTCCCAGCCTCACGGGGCTGCTGTGCGGCTGCAGCGACTGGGGCGACCGCGGTGCGGAGGCGGAGAGGAGGGCTCGGGAGGCGGCGCCACGTGAGTCCCGGGCCAGCGGGGCTGGGGCCGCGGCGGGAGGTTACCGTATTTATCTAGGCCAGTGCCGGACCCTTGGGGGCGGGTCACTGCGGGCGCGCTACCGTATTTGCTGGGAGCTGCGCAGGCCCTTTCCGGGAGTGGGGAGCGCTGCGACTTAATTACGTATTTTTCCAGGGTTGCGTGATCCCCCCCGGAGCGCTGCGGGAGTGGGAGGTGCGGGGGGTGGGGGCGGGTTGCATTCATCCCCTAAGGGAGCCGGGGCTTGCAGCGGGGTGGGGTGGGTTGCGGCAGCTGGGTGGGAGGCCTACGTATTTTCAGAGGGGTGGGGTTGCGACGCAGAGTTTACCATATTCCTCCGGGGTCACTCTGGCCCCAGGAGTTGGCAAGGTTGTGCGCTGGGAAAGCGGGGTCGGGTGGGTGGGGTCAGCTCTTCTGATTCATGCAGCTGTTTGATAAGAACAGCGGTGTGGGAGGCTGGCCGTCTTTATGGGGGCGAGGGAGAAGGGGCGCGGGAGTCGCTGCGGGCGAGTTACCGTATTTGCGTTGGGCAGCGCAGACTCTAGAGGAAAGAGTCACCGGTGGAGACCGGAGGAACAGGGGCGCAGCCTGGGCTGTGAGTGTGGGACAGGATGGAGAAACTTGGGGGTGGGGGGGCGCGGCCTTGGACCCTCTGGGCGGGCCGGGTCTTGGTTAGGGCTGTAACTGGGGAGAGAGCGAAGGCTGCCCAGTGACAAGGCCGGGCGGAGACTGGCCAAGGGCTCTGTGATGATCTGCCTTTGCATATATGTCAGTGCAGCCGCCTGGGGAAACCCTGGCGGGTGGGGTGGGTCTACAGCAAGTAGCTCTGTGCCCCTCTCAGGGGTGCTCCACCCAGGCCTGAGGGTGCAGGGGGGAGGGGCGCTGGGGCCGCAGGAAGCAGTGGGATCTGCAAGTGTGCAGAGGCTGCAGGCAGGTCCAGGGGAAGGGCCAGCCAGCTTCCCCGCTGGGGTGGGGGAGGGCCAGGGAGTGGCCAGCTCCCGCCCTCTGGATGGAGCACCCCTCGGTGCTCTGCAGGAGGAGCAGGAGCTCAGGGTATTTGGGGGCGCAGGGGTGGTGGCAGCAGACAGTGCCCTATGGGAGCAGTGGCCCTGTGGGTGTCGATGGCTCCACCGTGGCCGGGATGCTGGCTGTGGTCTTGTTGTCTGTTTTGAGGGGAGTGTCTTTGGTGAGCAGCCAGCAGTGAGATGAGCTTTCGACTGTGAGTCAAGCAATGAGGGCCTAGTCCTGCCTCACCTTGGGCAAGTCAGTGGACCTCAATGAGCTTCAGTTTCCCCACCTCATCCGTACACTGGGGTTCAGTGAGCCCTGCTCCTTCCTCGGGGCTGCTGCAAGGACAGTGGGGAATAATTTAAGAGCCACACGGTAGCTGTGGGGTAGAGAACCCTTAGGAGAACCAGCGTGGACGGACAGAGCTGCACTTCTTGGGGGCGCTTGTCGGGTACCCAGCACTGCTCGGCCTGGGCCAGGCTTTGCTGTGGGGACACGAGAGGAGTGGATCTGAGATGCCCCCCCAGAGCTCACAGTCTGGTTCCGTGACTTGCAAACGGGCCTCTCCCAGGCCTCATTTTGCTAACAAAGAGCTGCTGCCTTGAGTGTTTAACTGAGTCTACTTTCAGGTTCAAGAGCTTTTGTTTTGTTCCTTTGAGCTTTGCAAAAAAAAAAAAAAATCTTTAAACCATTCCCTACCCTTCCCTCCAGGTTGGGGTGCACCTCCCTGCCTGCTCCTTGAGAAGTGGGGTGGAGAGATGAGATGCACCCAGGTGCAGGGTACCTTGTAATTCGAGGAGCCCCTGGATAGTACCCATCAGCATCTGTGCAATGCCTGTACCGCTGGCGCAGTGCGTGGTGCTGGGGATGAAGGCGGAGGCAGCTCTGTCCTTGAGGAGATCACAGGCAAGAAGACAAGGTGGCCTGACACAAATGCAGTGTGACCAGTGAGGGGCACAGGACAGGGCCACGTGGGGTCATGGAAGGCTTCCAGGAGGAGGCGGCACTCCTGAAGGGCCTGAAGGAGGCGCAGGATGTGACGGAGGGGTAGAGGAGAAGGAAGGGCATCTAGCAGAGGAACGCTGGCTTGAACAAGACTGTGAAGGGGTGGATGCTGGAAGCTGTAGGAGCGAAGACAGAGGAGTGTCTGTCCTGAGGCTGGGGTCCCTCCTGACTCCTCTTTCTGCTTCTGCCTCCCCAGGGCTTGGTGATTGCAACTGGGAGTGTCCATGACCGAGCTGGCGTCCTCAGGGGGCGGGTCCCCTACGGGGGACGGGGAAGAAGGTCTGGGGGACGAGCGAGGCCTGGTCATCCACCACCCCGCGGAGGAGCAGTCCCACCGCTGCCCGCTGTGTGGCCAGACCTTCTCGCAGCAGCCCAGCTTGGTGCGGCACCAGAAGGCGCACGCCGGGGCAGGCCGCGCGGCCTCCTTCGTGTGCCCGGAGTGCGGCAAGGCCTTCAGCGTCAAGCACAACCTCGAGGTGCATCAGCGCACCCACACGGGAGAGCGCCCCTTCCCCTGCCCCGAGTGCGGGCGCTGCTTCAGCCTCAAGCAGAACCTGCTCACGCACCAGCGCATCCACAGCGGCGAGAAGCCGCATCAGTGCGCGCAGTGTGGCCGCTGCTTCCGCGAGCCGCGCTTCCTGCTCAACCACCAACGCACCCACGCGCGCATGCCGGCCCCGCACCCGCGCCGCCCCGGCGTCTTCGGGGAGCGGCGGCCCTACTTCTGCGCCCGCTGCGGCAAGAGCTTCGCGCGCGAGGGCTCGCTCAAGACCCACCAGCGAAGCCACGGCCACGGGGCCGAGGGCCCGGCGGCGGCCCATTTAGGCCGCGTGCTCTGATGCGCGCCTGGCCTGGGGCCGGCTGTTTCCCGACCCCGAGCCGCATCCGTGAGCCCTGGAGGTGGCACTGGGCTGCGGTCCCCCCTCTGGATGGGATCCCGGGAGATGGGGAGGGCTGGCTGGGGGTCGTGGAGGAGCGGGCCGCCCTGCTCTGTGGCCTTCTTCTGCTCCTCCCCGCAGACGCGGACGCTGGGGCTGGCCGCACAGGGCTGCTCCTGGCCCCTGCGCTGGTTTTCCTCCTCAGGATGGCCAGGCCTGGAAAGAGCAGGTGAGACTGGGGTCAAAGTCGCTGTCAGACTCGCGGGGAGGGGGCTCGCTGGTCTGTTGTAGGTCTCTGTGACCAGCGTCTTACTACACCTTCCTTCCCAGAGCTGTCGGGGCGGAAAGCCAGGTGGAGGTGGCCACTCTCCCCAGCGCCCAGGCCCAGGTCTCCCAGCCCCGGAACTTACCATCTGGCACCCGTGGGAAGTCATTTCACTTCGTGTCTCAGTCTGCTCATCTGTAAGTGGGGGCTAAGCCTGAGGGGCGTGGGGAGGGTTGTAATCACTGTTACTGGACCAGAGAGGGGGATGGGGCTGGACCAGAGCCAGTTTTGAACACTGCTGTGTGCCAGGCACTGTGTGGGGCTGGGCTGGGCTCTCTGGAGGGGGGCGCGGACACGGCCTTGTCCCCGGAGGTGCCACACCTGGTGCTCACCCAGGGGGATGAGGGCCATCATAGGGGACAGACTATAAAGTGCAGGGGTGGGGGTAGTCACTGGTGTCACCCAAGGCCATTTATTAGTTGGAACTAGGTCCTGGGAATGGAGAGAGAGGTCCCAGGGAGAGCAGGGGTGCTATTCCGCCCCTGATAGCAGAGGGTCGCATCTGCCCTGCAAAGGACTCTGTGGCCAGGGCCAGGAGACACTAAAATGGGTGCAGTGACCTCAGATGACCAGTTCAAGAACTGGAGGCCCTGCGAGGCTGGGCCACAGTGGGACGAGCAGGAGCCTTGAGGGTCGGAGCCCCTGAGGGCCTCATCCGGGAGGCTGGGCCAAGGGCGTGAGAACGGGCACAGCCAGCCTTCCCTGGGGCCTCTGAGCCTGCTGTGGCACTCCGAGACATTCGAAGGCCTCCCCAGCCATTCGGAGGATGAGGAAACTGAGGCTCATCCCAACTGGCCCCAAGGCACTTAGTGGGTCTGCGGTGCAAACCCGGGCCCTATTTTGTCTTCTGGACCCCCAGACCCTCATCTCCACCCCACCGCCCTTAGGGAGGCTCCCACTGGTGGGGATGTGACCAGGGACCGCGTGGGGAGCCTGGGCAGGGGCGTCACGGGGTGGAGGGGCAGCCCTGAAGGGGACATGTCGCCCTCAGTGGTGGGTGGGGAGGAAGGACTCGGGGGCTGGGAGAGGACCTGTGCTCACAGAGCCGGGTCTCAGGCCTGGTGCCGAGCTCGAGCTCGGTGCTGCAGGCCTGGCCCTGCCCTGCCCTCTGGCCTCCCTCAGGGCTTCTCTCTGGGATCCATCGCCCTCTGTCTGCCACCCTGGGAACATCCAGGGCCGGTCACCAAAATGTCCTGAAGTGAAGCCACCTGATCTGTTAGACAGATTAGTAATCCTGGTGCCTGGGGACAGGTACAGGTGTCCCACCTGACTGCCCTCTCCTGGCCCCAGGGGGTTGGCCAGGCAGGGCTGGGTCATGGCCCTGAACCTGACCCTGGCCTCTGTCTCTGTGAACAGATGCGGAGTGGGCAGGACCTCTGGGCAGTGTGCAAGGCACACCTGGGCACAGACACCAGGAGTGGGGACCCTGGGGGCCTGCACCCCGGCATGAGGACACGCATCCTAAGAAGACCTACCTCGAGAGGTGCCCCACAGTGACAGCAAGGGGACTGGTGGAGCCCAGAATTGGGGGCAGGTTCTGTTCCCTGGTGGGAAGACTGACCCCCTGAGCCTGCCGGGAGTCCAGTCCAGGGAAGAGCTTGTCCTGGCTGCCTGGCCGCCTGGCCACAGACGTCCACTCTCCTGTGGCAGCAGGTACCATGCCTGTGTGGAGAGCTGGCTCCTCCGCCCGTGCCTGGCCCTCCAGAGCTGGGAGGTGGCCGGCCTGACAGCGCACAGCGCGCTGCTAGCAGACCTGGCTCTCCGGGCACAGCCTTCGCAGTGTGAACCACAGGAGCGGCCTCCACCAGCCTTTCAGCAGAGGTTCTTCCCACCCCTCGGGGCATGAAGCCCTTTGAGGAGCAGACAAAGGTTATGGACCTGCTCCCCAGGAAACTGCACATACTCACAGAGATGCAAGAACCTACCAGCAACACCAGGAGCTCCTGGACTCCAGGCTGGCACCTCAGCCCCAGGCCCCAACCTGCCACCCTGTCCTTACCCGACCCAGAGGGACCACCATACAGTAGCATTCTTCCCTCCCCCGCCGGTCCTCCTTCCCTTGTTTGGGAATAAAGAACTCTGAGGAGGGGACCCTCTTAATGACTCTATTCTTCCAGATCTAAGAAATGGCCTCCGGGTTGTGGAGCTTCCATCCCTCCCCAGATGTTGCTGGAGGCACCCTGGCCTGGCCTTGCTCTTCCCCGTTGGGGGTGCTGGCTCTGTGGACCAGGCTGCAGGCCTCCCGGCACAGCCCCGGGCTCTGGCTCACCGTGAAGGTAGAGAAAGCTGGACCTTGTGTGGACGCTGGGTGAAGCAGCAGTTTGGGCAGAGTCAGCCCCAGGAAGAAGGAATCCTGCATCCGGCAGCCATGCCCAGGGGTTCAGCCTCAGCCAAGCATGGCGTGGGGAAGGCTGGGGAGGGAGACACAGTCTTGCTCCTGGTGCTGGCCAGCTCCAGGCAGGCAGGGAGAGAGGCTGGCAGAGGGGCTTCTGTGTGCCCCGGGTGTCCACCAGCACAGGTCAGACTCCTCAGTTTTTGTGCCTGAGCAGTTGGCCCGGAGCTAGCTCCTTGGCCTCCCTAGTATGAACTGCCCGTCAGAAGAGGTGTGACTCACCAGGGCTGGGTGGGTTTTTGGCGACAGGCAGACTTCACGAAGCTGGTTGCGTTTAGGGAAACCCTTGCGGGTGGGGAGAGGCCTTTCGTCACAGCCTTTGATTGAGATCAAAGCCCACGGCTTTGAGTTGTGGGGGTCTCATAAGCCTTGGGTTTAGGTGACGGGCGCGGGTCTCAGGGATGGGCTGGGTGTGGTCAGGGTTGTCGGGAAGCCTGTCTGCCATGTGCCTTGTCCTCGGGTGACAAGCCGTTCTGGGGAGATCAGAGAGAGCGGGCATTCCTGATGCTCCGGGAAACTCCCGGAGTTTCTACATGCTTCAACGTGGAGGGAACCCCACAGACTCACCCCTGCTGATTGTCAGTTTGTTCATCCCTCCCCTCCCCCAGCTTGTACCTGTGCGCCCCCCTTCCTGCCTCTTGAGATCGCTCTGAAATGTACCGCTCCCACCCACCGCCCACCACGCCCTCTTCTCCACCTCCCCGAGACTCCCAGCCCACATTCTCTTCCTGCTCTGCAGTGTCTGTGTTAACTCACCAGCGCCCCCTTGGGGACTGCATGCAGCCTTACACTCCAGCTTCCTGTGCGTGTGCGCGCATGCGCGCGTGCGCCTGCGTGAGGGTGTGTTAAATCTACACTGTGAGCTTTCTGAGGGCAAGGGGCACGTCATTTCTTCTTGAACCCCGCAGGGTCTAGCGCAGGGCTGGGCTCAGCACTAGGCATGTACTTGCTGACTGGCTCATGGGCCAAGTGCTGGAGGCCGTAAGGGTCTCTCGCCATGGGAGGTGTGAGAGGGGAGAGGGTATGTGAGTTCAGAGTGGGGGGCGTTTCATTGGGCTGTGGGCTTCCCCGCCCTGGGGCAATAATGGCCATAGGACGCCGAAGGTCCCATCCATAGTCGGGGCAGTGGGACGGGAGGGACTGCCCCCCCAAGGCTGCGCAAGACTGCGCCTCAATGATCATCCAGGCTGGATATTCCTGTTGGTCACTGACACCCAATGCGATGACCGAGTGGAATAAATGTTCTGCTGATATCAGTTGGTGTGAGGAGTGGTCATTCGGGGCTCAGCTGGAGCAGGGTGGGGGCCTCCAGCTACCTCCATCATTGCTTGAGGGGTCTCGTTCAAGGTCACATGGTGTGGAAGGGCGGTAGGAAGCCTAGCTCAAAAGAGCAGTGGATAAGCTCAGCGCTTCCCCCCCCCCATCTCCCTGGCTTACTGACTGCGGTGTGGAGTTGGGTGATGGATACGGGGTGGGGTCCCCTGGGAGTAGTGCCAGCCACTTGCTCAGCCCACAGTGAGGCCGAGATGGTCCCCATGGGCACCTGAGAGGTGGGCCACGGAGGGGTTCCGGCTAGAGGACCCTTTGCCTCAGGAAGCCTGTCCCGACTTTAACCTCCCCGACTGTGACACAAAACAGTCCCGCTCTGCCTACCCCACGGAGCTGTGAGAGTCTTGAGTGAGCACGAGCTGTGTGAGCTGCAAAGCGCAACAGTGTCTCCAGCGTCCTGCTGCCTGAGGTGCACCTGGAGCTGAGCTGACCACCCGCTTCGCCTCCCACGAGGCTCCCGGGGCAGAAGGTGCTGGACGAGGCAATTGTGTCAGGCCCGCCGCCAGGGTCCTGGGGCCTGGGTGAGGGACTCCCTCCTGTTGGTGGCTTGGGGGCTGGGCCTGATCCTGGCGGAGGCTCCTTCCAGAACCTTTCCTCTGTGCCTGGCTCTTTGACCCAGACTTGGGGCTGCCTTAATTGTGTCTATCTGCCAAGGAGGGGTGCACCTCCAGGACAGGGCCTTGGAGACCCGGTGCTGTTGGGGGTGAATCAGGCAGGACCCTGGCTCTGCTGAAACCGACCAACCAAGAAGGAGAACTGGGAGCTCACAACACTGAGAAGGGCAGCGACTTGACGGTGACACCCAGCACGCAGCCCTTCTTTGGCTCAGCTCTTCCTCCTGGCGGCTGCCTCCCAGCTCTTGGGGCAGGAAGAAGTGGGCAGCAGCTCAGCCCCTGCCTGCCTGGGCTCGGTCCCTCCCCTCGCCGCCTGAACAATTGCAGGGCCCCTCTCCGGTTGGTCTGAACTGGTCCATGCCCATGACCAGACGGGCGGCTGCGCCAGGCCAGGCGACTGCAGCGCTGTGAATGGTGAGGCCTCGGTACATGCCACTGCCATGGGGTCAGCTCCTCCTGGAGTCCGTGGATCCAGAGTGGGGAAGGGACAGTTCACCAGGGGCAAAGCAGAGGCCGCAGGAGGTGAGAGGAAGCCGGGTGGGAGACCAACAGCCCTGCTCCTGACTGACCAGCAGCGCCGCCCTCTTGGGGACTTGTTCTCCATGCCCAGTGCAGCCCCACTCCTGACCCCAGGACGGCTACTGCATTTCAGCAAGAGCCCCAGACAGCCCGCGTGGGCGCACGCTCTGCCCAAGGGCACTGGTCCACCTCCCTTTCCGACCCTGCTGCCCAAAGCGGGGGGAAATGAAACCTGGCAGGCCTGGGGTAGAGACAAGATGGTGTCTCCACCGGTCCAGGGTCCTGGCCATGGTCACTCCGCCCACCCTGGGGACTGAGCACAAATCATGAGGCTGGCTTTACTTGAATTTATTCTCACCACTGAGCAGAGAGCAGGAGAGAAAGACTCAGAAAAGGGCCTGTCCCAGGTGAAAATGCAGGCGGCTCCCCCAGAGCAGTTCCTCTACCCTCGATTCCCTCTCCGCCCTCCCGTGACCCCCCATGAAGCACCGCCAAGCTCACTTTTTTCACAGTAACAGTGCCAAGTAGGGGGGTGCCTGCTGTGGAGGCTGTTGGTGCCCTTTCCAAGCTGAGTGTCGGCTGCTACTGGCTCACCTGCCCTAGCTCACCCCACCCCCCAGGGACCAGATGACCCGCCTGGCTCCTTCCTCGCCGGCTGGTGCTCCCCTTCTGCAGAGAGCACCTCCTGAAGACATCCTCGGTCCCCTGAAACAGCATCCTCGTCTCAAGCTCTGCTTCTAGGGATCCCGACCCCAGGCAGTAGGTGTGAGGGTTACGCCCTCAAAGCATCTTGAAAAAAATATTTTATTTATTTTTAGAGAGAGGGGAAGAAAGGGAGAAAGAGAGAGAGAAACATGGATGTGTGGTTGCCTCTCACGCACCTTCTACTGAGCACCTGGCAACCCAGGCGTGTGCCCTGACTGGGAATCAAACCAGTGACCCTTTGCTTCATAAGCCAGTGTTCAATCCACTGAGCTACACTAGTCTAACTAAGAGTCTTGCAAATATAAGAGATCATGCCTAGAGTCTTCTCCTTGGTGGTTCTGGGTGCTGCTGGTTACCCAAGGGCTTTCAGGTAAGTAGACTAGCAGATTGGAGGTGGCTGTCACCTCTGGGTGGTGACAAGCAGAGACCAGGGGGGTTGGGGAGATGTATGTCAGCTCCCGTGTGCAGCCGGACACCCCGGACAGCGTCCCCCTCCTCGGCTCCCACCCGGCCCTGTGACCAGCCCCGCTCCTCCCGACAGCTGGGACTGCCTCTGCTCTGCAGCACAGGCCCTGGGAGCTGGAACTGGATTTTTTCTTGTTTAAAGATTTTATGTATGTATTTTTAGAGAGAGGGGAAGGGTGGGAGAAAGACAGAGAGAAATATCAGTGCGTAGTTGCCTCTTGAGCGACCCTTACTGGGTCCTGGCCCACAACCCAGGCATGTGCTCTGATTGGGAATCGAACTGGCAACCTTTTGGTTCGCAAGCCTGTGCTCGATCCACTGAGCCACACTAGCCAGGGCTCTGTCTTCTTCTTTGAAGGCCACTAATCCCCTTATGAGGGCCCCAGCCTCAGGACCTAATTAGCTCCAATAGGCCTCTAAATCCCATCACCCTGCAGGTCAGAGGTCCCACACTTGGATTTTAGAGGAACACATTCAGTTCATAACACCTCCTTTCAGGAAAACAATGATGAAGCTAATCAGTGGAGACACACACCAAACAGAGTTTAGTCACTTATCAGAGTGCTCAAATGCAGACCTCACACATCTGTACAAAATTTGGGGACCAGCTATGTTTATCAAGCTGAAGAGTGGAATGAAGCCTATGGGAAACCAGACGGGAAGCCCACACTTCCTTTTCCCTCATTTATTACCTGTCCCTCGTCTGCGGCTACAGGCCACCGGCACAGGGCATGTAGTCACATCCGCTCTGATCCCGACAGCTTCCGAGGTCATCTCACCCAACACCGGCTGCCATGCAGCGCGGGCGGAGGCCGGCAGCAGACATCGACGGAGCCTCTCATCCCTCCCAGCCCCGGGAAGGGCCAAGTCAGGCACAGGAGACCAACGGTAGCTGCGAGCAAGGCCCTCCCGAAACTGGCCATGTTGGGCCGAGCAGCACTCACAGCTTCAGTGAGCGCTGGCCCAGGGGGAGGTGCCTCGTCTCCTTCCGCCCAATCTTCTCGCTCGTCTTCGCGATAACTGCGGACTTGTCTGCTCATGTCAAGGCCTGCGTCTTCACTTCCACTGTCCCCAAGAGCACTACCTGAGCTTTCATTTCTCGGAATGTCCCATTCAGTCCCTACTGCATTCCCCCCCCTCTAAATTCTCCTCATCCCCGAGGGGGACAAGAATGGAGAGTGCATCTCTTTGGTCCTGCTGGGGGCAGCAGGTTTGACATGAATCTGAGCGAACTGTTTCTACACGTTTACAGAATTCATCGTGCCGTTTGCTATGTTTTGTACATAATCTTTTTGAAAACTCTAACCTACATCAGTGTTCTTTACTGTCTGTACTTGTTCTAATTGCAAGATCATCAATAGTCCTGGTGCATTCATTGGTTGATTCTTGTAAGTGCCCTGACTGGGGATCGAACCTGCAACCTTGATGTATTAGGACGACATTCTAACTAACTGAACCATCCAGCCTGGGCAAAAGTTTAAAAGAAACCTATCATTTGTTCAGACTAATTATTGTAACAAAGAAGGACTCTGTTTGAATAAGACATTTAATTCTACCAGAAAACTGTCAAAATATACACATTTAGTTATAGGACACACTTTACTGCCATCTGCCCAAACTGTGGGAAATACATTTTTTTTTGTCTTGGAAGTAAAACATGTAATAACATTGCTTTTCTGAAGTGACACTGTCTAGCTGTGACTAGCGTGCCCTTCATCCATTGTCACAGCAGCCTGAACCATTGCCACAGCAGCACTGAGTTTCTCTTTTAAAAACGATTGTTTCCCTCCCCTAAATAGGTCACAGATTGGTTCTCTTTCCCGTCACCCATGGTCACTGTCGCGATATGAGTCCACGTCCGAGTTTCTAGCTTAGACTCTTGCAGTAGCTTGGACCGTCCTCCTACCTCCAGCCCAATTCTGTACCCCCCACACCCCCCGGCCAAGCTGCTCTCAGCACCCCGGATGCCCAGGCATTTGCCCTTCTCCCTCTGCCGCGGGTCCTGCACGGAGAACTTCCTCCCAGCCTTCGGGCAGACACGGCTGGTGGGGAGCTGGCGGGGGGGGGGGGGGGTCTTCTTCCTTGTCATCCCCGCCATTGTGGGACCTGCCACAGTCCCCGGCGGTCCACGGATTTGTTTCTGAGTCTGTCTCCACTCCGTTGTTTCTTTATCTCGCGGGGCTTGCGGAGCTTCCTCTCCGTCCCCAGGGCACCTGGAGCGCATCAGGACCATGCGCCAGCCACACTGTTTCAGCCCCCCAGGTCTAGTGTCTTCTCATCATCGGAGGAGCGCCTTGCGTCGGGGATTGGTGCTGTGAATCGTCAAGTGCGGCGCCTGGCAGCCTCCACGTGGCTGGCAGCACCTGGGTCTTCCTGGCCGTTAGGACGCGCGGAAGCCCAGAGAGTCCGGGAGGGGCTGGGAGGACGGGTGTGGTCCCTGCAGAGCCAGCGCTCCCAGCCCTGCCCTGTCCTTGTCATTAGCCACATAGCCACTAGGGGGCAGTCAGCCTCCATCCTTCCCCAGATCAGGGCACAGCAGGGACCTGAGGCAGCCTTTCTATGCGGGAACATCAATTCTCCCAAAATCTGTGTGCAGGAGGATCATTTAGTAAAACCGTCAGCTCAGCGGACAGAAAACCTGCTCAATCATTGCGGAGTTCACTGAAGCTTTGGTTTTATCCAGCGTGCTCCTCAAAATTTCGTATTTTATTTAAGAACAAGTGTAAGCCCTGGCTGGTGTGTCTCCGTTGGTTGGAGCATTTTCCCGTGAAAAAAGTGTGTGGGTTCAATTCCCTGGTGCTTGGGCGCCTACGTATCTCTCTCACATTGATGTTTCTCTCTCTTCCTCGATTTCTAAAAGCAATGAAAAAATGTCCTCAGGTGAAGTGTGCTTTTTCTTAGTTTACTCTGTTGTCTGTTTTGAGGACACGCTAGCCGGTCAGGCCTGTGGCTCTGCCCCAGAACCGACTGCTTTTGGGAGTGACACAGCTCGGGTGAGCCACCGTGGCAGGGGTCTTATCTTTCACAGAATGGAGTCAATGCAAGTGGACCTAATGCCCCAGGGTGGGAGCCTTGGGGGACCTTCTTATGAATGGGGTAGTAGATGGGGTGGGGGACAGGAGAGGCCTTGTCAGTGTCCCCCCTCGGGGTAGCCATAGCCCGAAGCCCCTGCTGGGCAGTGGCAGCATCCCTTCAGCATCCAGACAAGACCAGGCCAGGAGAAGGTGCCCCCTGGGGACAGTGCGGCGGCTGAAAGCCTGCCCCTCCTTCCTGGACCACGTCTCAGACAGCTCAGCACCTCGGGCATTTCAAAGACCAAGCCTGGTGTGAAAGCGTGAGGTCAAGTTCACGGAATGGCCAGTCTCTCACTGCATCCCAGTTACAAGTCTTCTCTCATGGATGAACCCCAAAGCCATGACATTAAGAAAAAAAAAGCCAGTCTCCACGGGGCACACCCGGTCTGATTTCGCCCCAGTATGAAGTATCTCAAGTCATCAAAGTCTTAGGAGTGGAAGCAGGAAGGGGGTTCCCAGGGCTGAGGGAGGGGGGAGGGGAGGGGAGGGGAGGGGAATTCGCGTCTCCCAGCGTGGCAGGGAGGACGAGTCCTGGAGCTTCAGGCCGCTGGACTGCACACCTGAAAATGGCTATGATGGTCCATGTAATGTGCTTTATCCTGCTTTGTCTTGTGTTGTTTTTACCACTCGAAATACAATGTGAAAAGGTCTTGCTCCGTGTTCCGCTTCTTTCTGTCGTGGGAGGCTTTGGGACGCTTTGGCTTCTCACCAAGGGACTTTGGTTGGATGAACTACTTGAAAGCATGGACGTGTCAGCATTTCAAGCGCTTTACTAGCTCAGGAAAAGAATTCTTGGCCTAGGAAGCAGCAGCGTTAGTCTGAGGGTTCCTCAGGCCGGGGGTTTGGCTTCCTGGAAGAGGAGGCGAGGAATTGTTACCGACTGTCAAGGTTGTTTCAGGGTGGACAGAGGCCAGGGAGCTGCTGGTGGGAACGACGTCTTCATTGCAGCCCCTAAAGGTGCCGTCGTTTCTGTTCCTAGCAGCAGGAAGCCTCCCAGACAGCTCGCGGTGCCCAGGGCATAATGGCCCATTTCCAGCGACCCTCCCGTTTGTCCCCCACCCGTCCATGCTGTAGCTGCACAAGGGGCCGTGCTGTTGTGAGAACGCCCAAGGGGGCCGGCGCCCTGGAAGGTGTGCGCCTGTCCTTCCCTAACCCCGCCGCCCCAGACGTTGTTCTATCTGTGGCCTAGTACTAAATCTGAGCTTCCTGTCGGTTGCAATTGTTTCCTGTTTCGGTGAAACGCGTGTCTAGAAACTTCCTTCTCAGAAACCCTAGTGATCAGAAAGATTCCGGGCCCGCAGGGCTGGCCCCGCCCCCGCATTTCTGACCCCGCCCCCGCTCTCACCGGCCCCGCCCCACTCTTCTGACCCCGCCCCGCCCCCAGGCCCCGCCCCCGCCTTACTGGCCCCGCCCCTCCCACCACTGCTTTAGGGTTCTGAGGGCGGGAGCGCACCCGGCAGCTGCTTCAACCAGCGAGAATGGAGCCAGCCGAGCGTGAAGGTTCCGAGACTGTGACAGGCCAGGGGACAGGAGCAAGTTCTGAGACTGTGACAGGCCAGCAGACAGGAGCAAGGTATATGCGAGCAGAGGTGTGCCGACACCCCCTGGGCCCTGGACCCAGAGAGGGGACAGGAGCCGCATGGAGGGTGCGCTCTCAGGACCTCCGAAATGGTTCCTCCTTGTTCAGCTCTCGTTGTCCCAGCCCCGCGGGGTGGGGGCAGAGGCTCCCACCTTCCTGGGGCGGGGGAGGCTCTGGGAGGGTTGCTCCCCCAAGACTGGGATGAAGGCCTAGTGGGAGGGGCAGGGGAGGGAACGTGAACGGGGTCCCCTGATCCTCGGGGATCCCCTGACTTCGGGGCTGCGCCTCGCCCCGAGCGTGCCTTCCCCCCTCCCCACGAAGGCGGCAGTTCGGACTCTGATTTCCCACAATCAGTTTTTGAATATTCTCGAACCTTTGCTCTCTCAGGTTCCCATACCTGAACCCTGAAAGTGGTCGAGGTTTGCCAGAAATCATAGTTCTGATCTCACCCCCATCTAAGCCGCTTGGGCTCTTGCCCCCACACACTTTCACTTCTTCCCGACGCCTGACCCAGGCCTCCCCAGGCCGCGCTCTGGAAGCTCCCCCGACCACCTTTTCCGTGCCGGTGAACTGCGGAGGTGGGAGGAATCCTGCGCCCTCGTCCCCCGCCCCAAGCCCCCAGCTTTGCGAGGGCTGCCGGCTGAGAAGGTGGAGACTGTCGAGAGTCGCGACTAGAGCTTAAGAGGGAGCTGCTTTCTCTTTCTCTCCGGAGCTCTGCCGGAGTCTCCCCAGTGGCCTGGGGTGATCTCAGGGGGGCTGGTAAAGGAAACAGGGAGGGAGGGGGGAGGGGGGGTTTCCTTTTGTCCTTAAAAGGGTTTTCTATATGCCTGGGAGGAAACGGTATGGGTTGGGCAGTGTAGAAATGAGAGACAGAGAGACAGGGAGAGGGAGGGAGAGAGAAAGAATCTTGATTCCGTGTGGCATCTTCTGCTGGAAAGAGTGGGGCCCATGTCGTTTAGTCACAGTCTGATGGGGACCAAGTAAACAATGGCGTTTACTTGGGAAAGAAAGTCCTTTCTTCTCCACACCTGTGGGAAGTCTCTGTTTCTTGGTCCGCTAGTGTTTTTATTTTTTTTTTCATAATGTACAGAAATAATACCACTTCCCTGGTTTGGAATACAGCAGGAAGTCACTTCTCTTTTACTGTTCAAAGTGACATCAGTGTCCCTGCACTTGTACAGACTGTTTCTCTTGCCTTCCTCACACCCCGCTCAGCGCCCCTCATCTCGCTCCGTTTATGGAGTGGATGCGGCAAAAGTAAGTTAACAGTTGCACACATGCGAAACAGAGTTTCTTCTTTTTAAAAAAATATATTTTGTTGATTATGCTATTACAGTTGTCCCATTTTTTTCTCTCCTTTATTCTCCTCCACCCTGCAACCCCCTTCCACCAGCATTCCCCCACCGTAGTTCATGTCCATGGGTCACACGTATAAGTTCTTTGGCTTCTCCATTTCTCATATTATTTTTAACTCCTCCTATTTTGTACTTACCAGTTATGTTTTTTATTCCCTGTACCTTTCCCCCCAATCTCCCCACTGCCCTCCCTGCTGATAACCCTCCACACGATCTCCATTTCTGTGATTCTGTTCCTGTTCGGGTAAGGGTGTCTTCATATGGCAGTGTCAGAGCAAGAAGATGCTCTTAGAAGACCCCCAACAGTGATTGGACATAGGCCACGAAGGAGACTCTTCCTCCTGGAGTCATGGTTCTGAGGTGTGATTTTTGGGCTGAGGCGGATGGGCTGTGCATCTTGAGTCATGTCAGAGAGGACCAGAAGGTACCAGGGAAGAGCCCAGGCGAGTGGCTGGCTTGGTTGGAGCATCGTCCCTTGCACCAAAAGGTTGCAGGTTCAGTCCCCAGTCAGGGCACAGACCTAGGTTGTGGGTTTGATGCTGGTTGTGGCTTGTGCAGAGGGCGACTGATGAACGTTTCTCAATCACATCGATGTCTCTCTCTTCTTTTCTCTCTCTAAAATCAATAATAATAATAATAATAATAATAATAATAATAATAAACATATCCTCAGGTGAGGATTAACATTTTAAAAAGAAAATTGGAGAAGAGTCTCTGGCCCTGGTGAACGTGTCCTCACTTCTGCCTGGTGTGGGTCCTTCCTGGTGGGGCTTCTTGAAGGAGGGTCAGCACCTCTTCTGTCTCCGTGCTTCCAGTGAGGTTCCTCTGTGGTGGGCCGTTGCCTGTAGTTCGGTGGCTTCTTGTTTGGGGCCACGAAGCCTTTATACTCACATCATCATATCTTAAAATCAGAGGGGATACACTCAGGGTGTTGGACAGTGGCATGGGTCCCTTTTTAACACACCCTTCCTCTACCGCACACAAGTGTTCTCAGCAAGAATGACGAAATGAAATGGTTGCATTTTATGTTTGCCTTTACGAAACACAAGTAGACCAACTGGGCATGTGCCCTCCTTTGGACTGCTTAGAATAGTTTTTTAGGTCTTTCTTAATATATTATTCTTTATATTTCCATTGCAGTTTTCGTGCAGTATTATTTTTCTATTAGTTTCAGGCGGACGGCATAGTGGTTAGACAACCACGTCCTTTACAGGCCACTGTTCTCCAAAAGGTCTGAGCTATCAATCAACAACTCAGAAAAGGGCCTTTCTCATCCCTCGCTTTCTTCAGCTGCATTTCTTTGTCCTTCAAGTCAAACGCCACGTGCTCAGTCCCGAGCAAGTGCTGGTCGGGTGCTTTCTTTATGTCTGTGGTAGGAACGGGGCTGAACAAAACAGGCAAGTCTCCGTTTTCACGGAACTTACCTTCTACGGGCGGGGTTGCACAAAAATGAAAGTCGAGTTAGCACACGATGTGAAAGGGGGCGGCAGTGGGTGCTGGGGTTCAGGGTGCTCTTCAATAGAGGGGACTGAAGGACTTGTGTGCCACTGGGGTGATACAGTAGGGATGCATCGCAAGTGAACCTGCCTCACACAAGTCCGGGGGGTAAGAATGTTCGAGTTCAGATGAACAGCCAGCACAAAGCCCCAAGGTCGCATGTTTGGGGAACAGCAGGGAGGCTGATGTGATAAACTGAGGTGGAGAAGGGGCGGAGGAGGAGGTTGGGGAGGCATCCAGGGCTCGGATTGGGTGGGGTCTTGGACCACTACACAGCCCGGGAAGCCCTTCGGGACTTTGGACTGATGAGTGCTATCATTCGTCCTTTGTTTGAGACTCTGGGAGAAGGTTAGAAGCAGGGAGACCAAAGTCCAAAAAAGAGCTGATGATCCATTCAATCTGGGAAAATCAGGAAAGGCTTGGCATGGAGGTGACTTTTAAGTGGCGTGGTGAAGAGTGGGAAGGAGTGTTCCAGGTGGGCAGGGGAAGAGGAGTTCAGGGGAGGGCGGGCTGACATTCTGGGTGTCTGGAGCTAAGGTGGCAGGCACAAGGTAGGGTCCTCAACTGGGAAAAGCACCCACAATTACAGGCTACACCTTCTCTTCAAGCCCACATGAAACATTGACAAAAACTTTATTGGGCCAACAAGTAAATCTCAGCCAATGACAAATACATATTTTACACAGATATTCTCTGCCCACAGCGCAGTAACATTGGAAATCAATGGTGGCCAGTCTCCCCACACATTTTTAAATTTGATCATCACTTGTCTTAATTCATGGGCCAAGAAATGACAGCTGAGATCAGAACATACTGAAAACTGATCAACAAGGAGAATGAAGGGAGTAGCAACACCATGAAGATGCCGGTTCTTCTCAAACTTAAGTACGAATTCAATCAATGTCGTGCAAAATTTCATCAAGATTTCCTCCAAAAAAGTGACAACTGGTGTTAAAAGCCCTCTAAGAGATTAGAAAGCCAAGACTAGCGAGGGAATTTTGAACAGCAGCAAGGGGTTGGCACCCACTTGATCAGGTAAATGAGACCAATCGGGTAAATGATGAAGTCGCATTGGTTTCAGTGATGAAGACACCGTGGCTCAGGAAGAGACCAAGAGTCCAGTGGGCACAACAGAGAAGCTGGGGACAGACTCAGGGACACGTGGGTGCTTGGCCTCTGACGGAGGGGCTGCTCAGTGGGACGGTGCTGGGAAACTGGACCCTGTAGACTCTCAAACTTGCTGTTCATGGGAACCACCTGGAAGTTGTTGAGTTGCTGATGTTGATTCAGCAGGGCTGAGGGAGGTCTGACATTCTGCAGTTCTCTCTGGAACCCAGCTGCTGGCAATATTGGTAATTGGTGACTCGCACTTGGCAATGCAACAGCTTAAATTGTAAGAATAGTAGGTGTTTCTTTAACAGAGAGGTGGCTCAAGGTAGCTCAGTGATGTCATTGGGGATCCTGTTATCTTCTGCTCTGCCCTCCTTTGGCTGGAATGGCTCACACCTGACTTTTTATTATCTTATTTGTTACCTCATTGCCCCACGATGGCATCTGCAATTCCAGACATCACATTTAAATTCCATGCAAAAAGAAAGGGAAGAGGAGCTCTTGGTGAAGCTGGTCCCTGGCATCAACAGCACAATAGTATTTATAGAAGGCCCAAGGAAATGTCCCCTCAACTGTCACCAACTAGATGTGGGTCACATGGACACTCCTGTTTGGAAGGTTGGCTGGGAGATAGAGCATATACGTTTCCTGGTGCTGCTGTAGCACATTGCTACAACTCAGTCGTGAAAACCCTCCCCGAATTTATTATTTTACAGTTCTGGGGGTCAGAATTCCTAACACCGAGTTGTGGAACAGGACTGTGATCCTTCTGGGGGCTCCGTGGGGGAGCCTGAGTCCTTGGCTTTTCCAGCTTGTAGAGTCTGCTCCATCGCCAAGGCCGGCAGGGTGCCCTTTTCAAATCTCTCCCTGTCTGACTCCCCAGAGCACTCACGCTCTCATGCTCCTTTCCCTCACTCCGACTTCCCTGCCTCCATCTTTAAGGCCTCTTATGATGTGCTTACGTGGAACCCAGCTGGCTGATCCGAGATTCTCTGTCCATCAGAAGAGCCCAATCACATTGGCAAAGTCCTTTTTACTACTAAAGGCGATGACATCACAGGTTCCGGGATTCGCACATGGACATCTGGTGGTTGGGGGCGGGGGTATTATTCTGTCACAGAGCGTGTCTAGGTTTCTCCCAGCAGGTAAGTGGGGATCAGGTGAGTGGAGAAGGGGGTTGTTGGTTTAGTGAAGTCCACAAGGACATGTGACCACTATGGGCTTATTTCACAAATGAGCACAACCCTGGCAAACAGTGTTTCTTGTTCCAGTCGAGTCTGAGTCTAGGACTTCAGTAGCCTAAATCCTCGGGGGTGGGGAGGTGGAACTTGAGTCAAAAAGAGCATGCACTTTGTCCTGGCCAGCCTGGCTTGGTTGGTTGGAGCATCGTCCTACAGACTGAAAGGTTGTGGGTTTGATTCCAGGTCAGGGCACATGCCTAGGTTGTGGGTTCAATCCCTGGTCAAGGGTGCATATGGGAGGCAACTAGTTGATGTTTCTTTTTCACACTGAAGGTTTTTCTCTCTCCCCTCTCTCTCAAAAATAAAAAATAAAAAAGGTAATGAGAAAAAGTCCTTGTGGGAGGGTTAAAAATAAAAGAGAGTGTGCACACTTTCTTGCAGTTCCTCTGTTCACCCTGCTTGTCAGTCGAACCCTGACCTGCTGCCCTTTGCCCCCACAGGTGCAGCAGGAGTCTGTGTCCAGAGGAAGCTTCCGAGCAGGAGCAGGGATGCTCCCCGGGGGCACTGAGGCTCCTCCTCCTGGGGAAGAAGGGCGCAGGGAAAAGCGCCACAGGAAACACCATTCTGGGCAAAGATGTGTTCACGTCCAGATTCAGTGCACGGATGGTGACGGAAGCCTGCCAGAGAGAGAGCGGGGACGTGATGGGCGAGAAGGTGGTGGTCATCGACACCCCCGACCTTTTCTCCTCCACAGCTTGTGCCGAAGACAAGCAACGACACGTGAAATGCTGCCTGGAGCTCTCGGCCCCCAACCTCCACGCCCTGCTTCTGGTGATCCCCATCGGCCACTGTGCGGAGGAAGACAGACAGGCCATTGAGGGCATCAGGAAGGTGTTTGGAGAGGAAGCCAGGAGACACACCATTATCATCTTCACTAGGAAGGAGGATCTGGGGAATGTCTCCATGCAGGATTACCTTGACCAAAACAGCTCGGTCCGAGAGTTGGTTGAAATCCACGGAAGCCGATACTGCGCTTTCAACAACAAGGTGGGGGAGGCTGAGCGGGCCCTCCAGGTGGCGGAGCTCATTGACATGGTCAAGCGTTTGGTGGAGGCGAACGGAGGACCCTATTGCAGGAACTGCAGAAACAAAGGCGGCAGATTCCGGGTGAGAATTCCCGTTAAGGTCTCCCAGGGTCTCTCTGTGGTTAGAGCCAGTGGGAAGGAGCTGGGCCCAGACAAGGGAACAGTTTAACAGGTTTTATTTAAAGGACTGTTTATACATGATCTACAATGATGAGGCTCCAGACGGTAGGTCACTTGCAATATTAGCCTTTGGACAAATCATTTATTGGTAAATTAATGGATACCTCGGCGTCCTTGTTGGACTTTACCCCTCATATTTCTGGATACTAATGACTCATTAGACGCCCCTGGCTTCAATAGGACTGTCTTCTTCTTGTCCCCTCAGCCTCCCCGCCCCCTGTCCCCTTCTGGCCACTCTGGGGGTAGCCTCGTTCTCCTGCAACGAGCTCTAAAAGTTGGCATCCACCCAGTTTGATTCTAGTCTATCCTCTGGTGATGCTACGTTGTGCAGCTTTGAGCTCCATCTACTGCCAGCAGTTTCTGAATTAGTAGCTCTAGTCCAGTCTCTCCTCTGAGTTCTGAGTCCTTTACCCAACGGCTACTTGACTTCTCTACCAGGCTCTCATATAGGACCTCAGACTTCATGTGTCTAAACTTCTGGTTTCCCCCTCTTGTTTTTTTTTAAGTCTTATTTAGTTTTAGAGTGACAGCAAGGGAAGAAGGGAAACATCAATGTGTGAGAGAAATATTGACGGGTTGCTTCTTGCATGCACCCAGCTGGGGACCTGGCCCACAACCCAGGCATGTGCCCTGACCAGGAATCAAACCAGCGACCTTTCGGTTCTCAGGCCAGTGCTCATTTCACTGAGCCACACTAGCCAGGGCTAGTTTTCCCTCTTAATCAGTGAGGCTTGTGTTTTCCTCTCAATTCCGTGAATGGATGTGCTGCTCACCACACTCTTTGAACCCAAACCTGGGTGTGGCTGTGACCCCCCTCACCCCCCTGCCCAGCCAGCACCTGCTGTCTGGGAAATCCTCAAGTCTGCGTGATCACGCACCTGGAACCCACCTGCTTGACTCCATGCCCACGGCCACCACCTGGTCCCAGCCAGCCTCTTCTCTCGAATATACTGGTTTACCAAAGTCATTCATTCTTACTCCGCTATCCATTTTACGTAGCCAGAGTGACAATTTGTGGCAAGGGTGTCCAACCCATGGCCCAAGGGCTGCATGTGGCCCAGGATGGCTGTGAATACGGCCCAACACAAAATTGTACATTTACTTAAAACATTGTGAGATTTTCTTGTGATTGTGTGTCACAAATGTCACATAAAATAAACATGTTTGCTCTTGCTACTTGCGCGAGTGCTCGCCCCACCATGCCTTACTCGTGTCATCGCTATTGGGCAGCATCTACATTGCGAGCAACTATTTTCAAGAATGAAACACGACAATTGTAAAGTAAGAAACAAAATATCTGATGAGCACCCTGAGAGCTTACTGAGAATTGCAACCACGTCTATCAAACTAGATTCTGACGCGGTATTTCTCAAATAAAGTGTCAAACATCCTGCTAGTTTTAGGTTGTCCTCTCTTCTTGTACTTTGATAATAAAAAACATTTAAAAAAATTAGTGACATTCCATTGCTTAGATATGTGCACTTTCTATAATAGTGACCACAAACTTGGGACTTGCTCAGTGATGTTAAGAGATTATCGAAAGGGCCGCTCGCTGCATAATCATGGTTATTATGTGAGGACTTTCTGCTCATCTGTGGTGATGGATCTCACGAAAACTAGGTACAGACCTTGTTTTTCTTCATCAGTGTTCGTTAGTGTTTGTGTATTTAATGTGTGGCCCAAGACAATTCTTCTTCCGTGTGGCCCAGGGACACAAAAAGGTTGGACACCCCTGGTTTCTGTGACTGAAAAACGTGAATGAAAACTGTATTCATAACCAAGGAATGCAAGCTCTCGCCTCTGGAGAGCTTACGCTTGAACTGGAGTTGATGTAGAGCTAAGAGAAGATTTGAGATCTGCATCCATCACCTGTCCTCTTTCCTCTTTATTTTCTAGGACTGTGCGGAAGAAGGCACGTTGCAGAAGATGGATGGTCCATATGGTAAGATGACCCTTAAAAAACTTTAAGCTCCTATCTGTATTATTTTAAAGATTTTATTTATTTTTAGAGAGACGGGAAGGGAGGGAGATAGAGAGGGAGAGAAACATCAGTGTGAGGTTGTCTCTTGCATGCCCCCTACTGGGGACCTGGCCTGCAACCCAGGTATGTGCCCTGACTGGGAATCAAACCGGCAACCCTCTGGTTTGCAGACTGGTGTTCAATCCACTGAGCCACACCAGCCAGAGTTCAGCTGCTTTCTTTAAATGCCGCGTTCACTCCCCTTCCAGAGTTGTTGTGCAAACAAGGTGCAAAGCTGGTCCACACCGTGCTCCGGGTGATGCAGACCCAGTGACTATTCCTGAAGCTGCTGACTCTGCCATTTCAACAGTGTGTAGTTTTGGCATTGACCTAGGGTCACAGGTGGGAACAGGGGATGTGTGGAGAGACAGCTTTGGGGTGCAGGTTTTTACTGCAATTTGTTGAGGTAGAATTTACATAGAGTAAAATGTACAAATCTTAAGTACACAACTGAGGGACTTCATACACATCTGCGTATCTACAACCACCATCTAGAAGGTGTCCAATCTTTTAGTGCCTCTGGGCCACATTGGAAGAAGAAGAGTTGTCTTTGGCAACACGTTAAATATATTCTACACAAAATCACAAAAACATCTCATAATGTTTTTTTTAATTTATTTATTAAAATATATTTTATTAATTATGCCATTATAGTTGTTCTATTCCCCCCCTTCATTCCCCTCTACCCTGCACACCCCCTCCCCCACCATCCCCCCCTTTAGTTTATGACCATGTGTCTCAAGTTCTTTAGATTCTGTATTTTCCCTACTATTCTGGCCCTCCCCCCTATCCATTTTCTACCTACCATCTATGCTACTTATTTTCTGTGCCTTCTCCCCCCTTCTCCTTCTCCCATTCCCCTGTTGCTAACCCTCCATGTGATCTTCATTTCTATGGTTCTGTTCCTGATCTAGCTGTCCTCTTAGTTTGCTTTTGTTTTAGGTGTGGTTCTTAATAACTGTGAGTCTGCTGTCCTTTCACTGTTCATCTTTTTTATCTTCTTTTTCTTAGATAAGTCCCTTTAATATTTCATATAATAAGGGCTTGGAAATGATGAACTCCTTGAATTTGATCTTATCTGAGAAGCACTTTATCTGCCCTTCCATTCTAAATGAAAGCTTTGCTGGATAGAGCAATCTTGAATGTAGGTCTTTGGATTTCATGACTTGGAATACTTCTTTCCAGCCCCATCTTGCCTGCAAGGTCTCTTTTGAGAAATTTGCTGGCAGTCTGATGGGAACTCCTTTGTAGGTGACTGTCCCCTTATCTCTTGCTGCTTCTAGTATTTTGTCCTTCATTTTAATCTTGGCTAATGTAATGATGATGTGCCTTGGTGTGTTCCTTCTTGGGTCCAACTTCTTTGTGACCCTCTGAGCTTCCTGGATTTCCTGGAAGTCTATTTCCTTTGCCAGATTGGGGAAATTCTCCTTTATTATTTGTTCAAATAAGTTTTCCACTCCTGGCTATTCCTCTTCCCCTTCTGGTACCCCTATAATTTGGATGTTGGAGTGTTTAAAGATGTCCTGGAGGTTCCTAAGCCTCTCCTCATTTTTTTTGAATTCTTGTTTCTTCATCCTTTTCTGTTTGGTCATTTTTTTTCCTCCTTCTGGTCCACTCCTTTGATTTGAGTCCCAGTTTCCTTTCCATTACTATTGGTTTCCTGTGTATTTCCATTCATTTCAATTAGTTTAGCCTTCCTATGTTCTCTAATTTGTGACTAAAATCAACCAGTTCTGTGAGCATCCTGATCACCAGTGTTTTGAACTGTGCATCTGAAAGTTTGGCTCTTTCTTCATTGCTTAGATTTATTGGCTCTGGGGCTCTGAGTTATTCTTGAGCCATGCTTTGATCTGTTCATGCCTGTTATGTATGAGGAGAGGCGCCTTAGGTGTTCACCAGGGCGGGGCCACCCAGGTCGCTGGTTTGTGACGCTCTAGGTGGGGGTGGAGTCAGAGAGGGACAATGGCGGTCCCCTCTGCCGCTTCCTGCTACTGGGGCCTGCGCGGTCCGTCTCACTGCTAGCTCCTTCACTGGTTTATCTGCGTACAAATATGTGACCTTAATCAGCCCTCAGTGGGTCCGCCTGCTTCTCCACACCTGGGATCTGCCCACGGCTGCTGGCACACCTGGGTTGCGCGATCTAGTCGGTCCGGTGGATCTTTCCTGCCCAACCTGCTCTGCTGCTGGCTCTGCCCCTCTACTGGTTTGCCTGAAGGGTTCGTTGTTGTCAGACTTATGTGAAGTTCAATTTTCTGTGTTTTGGCTGCGTTTTTGTTGTTAAAACTTTGTTGTTTTTAAACTTAGTTGTGCAAGAAGGTGCAGTGCTTCCACCTACGCCTCCATCTTGGCCACATTATTATAACACTGCACTCATCCCAAGGCTCACTGAGCCGTCGCCCCCTGCCTGGACCCTTCGGAAGCAGAGGAGGAGTGAGCAGGTTCACTCCCTCATAATGTTTTAAGTAAATTTATGGTGTGGTGATGGGCCACATTCCTAGCTACCCTGGGTCCCATGTGGCCTATGGCCACAGGTTGGACACCCCTAGTAAAGACGTGGAACATTTCCATCACCTCTCCAGACTCCTACCAGCATCAGGTAATCTGGTCTGTTCTTGAACTTCATAGTGTGCCCATATAGCATGTGATTTTGCATCCAGTGGATTTTACTTAGTATGTTCTGGAGATCCAGCTGAGTTGTGTATCTGTAGGTCACTATTTTCCTTTAAGTTCTGAGTTGTATTCTCTGATTTAATGAGTCTACCGCTCAGGCTCATTGTAAATGCACATTCTCCCTGGTCCTGCCTCAGCCCAGGGACTGCATGCCCAGGACTTATCTTTGGCTGCAAAATGAGAGGAATGGTAAGGGCCAAGGCCAGTGAAGGCCAAGTTTCACATTTGCATCTTCCTGGGCCATCTCCAACTCTTGACGTAGCTGTGAATCTCTTCACAGGCCCTTCTGTAGCTTTCATGTGGGAGGGCATCCCCTGACCAGGACGAGGGTTGTGCTGGGTCCCAGGACTGACACTGTTCTCTGTAAACACTGAGAGGGAAGAGAGACCAGCACACAGTCCCCATCTCTGTGCCCAGCTGCAAGAAGAGACTCAGAATGTGTTCTTTCATCCCACAGGCCCAGGGGAGCAGCTGGCGCTGGCCACGGGGTCTGAGATGAGCCCCAGGCTGACAGAACTAAAGGTCCTGCTCATTGGGAGGCATGGTGCCGGGAAAAGTACAGTCGGAAACAGCCTGGTGGGGAGGCATGTCTTTGAGACCAAGTTCAGCGACCTCCTGGTAACCACAGAGTTTAAGTCCGAGAGCAGAATGTGGAGGAAGAGGAACATTACGATCATCGATGGTCCAGACTTGTCCTATTCAAAGGGCCTGATATCAGATCTTCGGAAAGAAACCCCGGAGGGCCCCCACGCCTTCCTGCTGGTGACCCCACTGGGCTCCTTTGGGGAGAGAGACAAGGAGCTGCTGGCCGCCCTCCAAAGCAGCTTTGCAGGCGAAGTCACTAAGTACATGACCGTTCTCCTCACCAGGAAAGAAGACCTAGGGGGCCAGGGAGTAGAGACGTTTCTGAACAGCAACGCAGACCTCCGTGAGCTCCTGGTGAAGTGTGGGGGCCGGTTCAGCGTCTTCCACCGCAGGGCCACAGAAGAGGAGGAGCAGAGCCAGGTGGACGAGCTCCTGCAGAGGCTGGTGTGCATGGCACAGCAGAATGGAGACCAGCCCTGCCGCTTCGCAGAGGAAGGTAAGCCGCGTCAGAAAGCAGGTTCTATGCTCTTTGAAGAAGGTCGCGTGGACTCTGCAGGCAAAGGCAGAGAGACGCCACCGGGAAACACATGGTATGGCCCCTGTGACGCCACCTGTGGGGAAACTTATGGTCCACCTTTTCACGGCACACGGGACAGTGCCAGCGGGCACTGTCACTATAACCACGAGGCGCCTTTGGATGCCAATGAAAGGCCGATGGAGTTGAAAGTGGATGTAGTGAGAAATGGCTTTTAGCTCCATCTGGCAGGGGGGCACGAGTCGCCACCTCTTCACGAAAAGTAATGCTGTGAAGTAATGTCTGAACCGCATCCTGGAGACTATGGTACAGTCAGCATTAGTTGGCAGTGGGGGCGCACAGTCACAGCAGGAACAGGAGACAGAGGTGAGGTGAGCAGTCTAGACCCAGGTGCACTGGTGAGAGTAACAAAGCACCCACAGGGTGCCAGGGAGTCAAGGAAGCTGCTAGAAAACAGCAGATGGAGAGAGAGGAGCAGTGGCATGTCCGTGTGTGAGCACCAGACAGGGACTATGGTCCAAGTCCTACTTCTAGTTTGTGTGTGTCTGGAAGAAGCCATCCCTGTGCCAGGGCTGGTCCTGCCAGGTGGGAGTTGGCCCTGATGCTCCCGAGCATCCTCGGCAGCTGTGTGTGGCAGGGCTTTGAAGGGGGGACCTGGATCCACTTGAGGTCATGGCTCTCTCCTGCTTTCCTGTGACAGGGGCTCTGACCATCGTCCTGGTGGGGCGGAGTGGGACCGGGAAGAGTGCCACCGGGAACACCATCCTCGGGCGGTCTGCCTTCCTCTCTCGGCTCCAAGCCCAGCCAGTCACCAAGACGTGCCAGGAGGCCAGGAGGATAGTGGCTGAGCAGGACGTCGTGGTGGTGGACACCCCCGGGCTCTGCCTGATGTCCCGTGATGCTTCGCAGCTGGAGATGGTCCGCGGCCATGTGGCTACCAGTGGAGGGAATACAGTCCTGGTCCTGGTGCTCCAGCTGGGACGGGTCGTTCACGAGGACGAAAAGGCGGTGAAGATGCTGGAGTCCTACTTTGGAAAGGATGTCAGGAAACGCATGATTGTGCTTTTCACCCGGAAGGAAGACCTGGGGGCCGAGGACATCAACTATTACTGTGCCAACACAGATGACAGAGCTGTGAAGGGGATAATTGGAAAGTGTGGAGCAGAGCGAGTTTGTGCTTTTAATAACAATGCAACTGGCCAGGCCAGGGAAGACCAAGTAGCAGTCCTTTTGAAAATGGCCAGGGAGCTAATAGGTAACCATAAAAAAGGGGATGAATATTCTCGTACATGGGGACCATCAGCCAAAAAAATGCCGAAGGTGCTGGCAATATAAATGTTCCCTTCCAGTGCTAAGGAATTGAAAAGACAGGGTGGTCATAGCTGGGTGAAATGCCTGGGGTCTCCTAGTTAGTGGCCCACTGAGGGTGGGGGGTGAGGGTGGGAGAGGGGAGGACTGCTGGGTGGGAAGAGGGTTCCTGATGTTGGGGGCTGAGGGTCAGTGCCCTTACCCTGTGATGCATCAGCTCTCCATATAAATGCATTGTCAGGCTGGGGCAAGCAGCAGGGAGTATAAAGGAGCAAGGAGAAGTGAGGAAGGAGACGGCTTCAGAAGTGAGGCTGATGTTCAGTTTGAATCAAGTCACCAGCCTCCTCCTACTTGTGTAGGTAGATTGGAGTCAGGACAGACACCAGGACCAAGGCCAAGGCCAGCCTGTGGCCAGAACACATATAGTTACACAGGAACCAGGGCTTCCAGGTATGGGAGCGTGAGGCAGGAGGAGGACCTGGGCTCCTTGGGTGGCCCACTGCCTGCTGGGTCTGCTGGCCCCTTGAGCTGCCCTTTCCTCACAAGGTGGCTGTCCCTGGTGCTGCCTCCTTTTCAATGCTGAGTGCACAGGGACCCAGTCACCCCGTCTTTGTTGTCCCTGAGGGTGTGAGGATGACTCTGTGAGGTTTGAACACATTGTACTGTGAAGTCATCACATGGAGTGAACAGACTGGAACAAAACTCAGAGGTGCAGTAGAACTGCCAAGGTTAGCCCACCTGGCAAAGGTTTAAGATTCTGAGTATAATTCTAGATTTCCTCTAGCAAAGGGTATAGACGGCTCCCTCTCACTTTTCTCTCTCTGTCCTTCTGAGGGTTCGGCATCAGGTTAAAACTCAGAGGACTCACATGGTCACAGCTAACACTCTAGGGGCTTCAGTGTCCCTTGTCGGGGGTCCCGCAGCTGAGGCAGGTGTGGTGCCAGCCGTGCAGCCTTGTTCTTGTGACGCCTCCGCAGTCCAGGCTGCCTCTGTGTCCCAGGTGGTGGGTGGGTGATGTCCTACTGAGCTGTGAGCAGATAAGGGTGAGCGCTGCCTGCTGGAGGTGCTGTGTGAGACGAGAACTACAGGATGTTCTCCCAGCAGCTGAAGAACCAGACGACTCCAATAATAACCACTCCATAGATGCTTCGGGGACAGGATCGTGTTATTTGTCTTTTTTCCCCTTTAAAATGGTAATTTTTTAGAAAGAAGGGAAGGGAAGGAGAAAGAAAATCATATATATGACTTGGCCTCTCTCACACCCCCTGCTAGGGACCTGGCATGCGACCCAGGCATGTGGTTGGACTGGGATGCAACCAGCGACCCTTTGGTTCTCAGACCCATGCTCAATCCACTGAGGCACACCAGCTAGAACACTTCCTATGTCCTTTGTGTTTTTAAGGTATCAGTTTACCTTCACGTAATGTGCTAATATAGCAAGTGGTTATGTATCTGGCTTCTTTCACTTAGCGTGTTCAGGAGATCCAGCCAAGTTGTGTATCTGTAGGTCACTATTTTCCTTTAAGTTCTGAGTTGTATTCTCTGATTTAATGAGTCTACCGCTCAGGCTCATTGTAAATGCACATTCTCCCAGGTCCTGCCTCAGCCTAGGGACTGCATGCCCAGGACTTATCTTTGGCTGCAAAATGAGAGGAATGGTAAGGGCCAAGGCCAGTGAAGGCCAAGTTTCACATTTGCATCTTCCTGGGCCATCTCCAACTCTTGACGTAGCTGTGAATCTGTTCACAGGCCCTTCCATAGCTTTCATGTGGGAGGGCAGCCTCTGACCAGGACGAGGGTTGTGCTGAGTCCCAGGACTGACACTGTTCTCTGTAAACACTGAGAGGGAAGAGAGACCAGCATACAGTCCCCATCTCTGTGCCCAGCTGCAAGAAGAGACTCAGAATGTGTCCTTTCATCCCACAGGCCCAGGGGAGCAGCTGGCGCTGGCCACGGGGTCTGAGATGAGCCCCAGGCTGACAGAACTAAAGGTCCTGCTCATTGGGAGGCATGGTGCCGGGAAAAGTACAGTCGGAAACAGCCTGGTGGGGAGGCATGTCTTTGAGACCAAGTTCAGCGACCTCCTGGTAACCACAGAGTTTAAGTCCGAGAGCAGAATGTGGAGGAAGAGGAACATTACGATCATCGATGGTCCAGACTTGTCCTATTCAAAGGGCCTGATATCAGATCTTCGGACACAAACCCCAGAGGGCCCCCACGCCTTCCTGCTGGTGACCCCTCTGGGCTCCTTTGGGGAGAGAGACAAGGAGCTGCTGGCCGCCCTCCAAAGCAGCTTTGCAGGCGAAGTCACTAAGTACATGACCGTTCTCCTCACCAGGGAAGAAGACCTAGGGGGCCAGGGAGTAGAGACGTTTCTGAACAGCAACACAGACCTCCGTGAGCTCCTGGTGAAGTGTGGGGGCCGGTTCAGCGTCTTCCACCGCAGGGCCACAGAAGAGGAGGAGCAGAGCCAGGTGGACGAGCTCCTGCAGAGGCTGGTGTGCATGGCACAGCAGAATGGAGACCAGCCCTGCCGCTTTGCAGAGGAAGGTAAGCCGCGTCAGAAAGCAGGTTCTATGCTCTTTGAAGAAGGTCGCGTGGACTCTGCAGGCAAAGGCAGAGAGACGCCACCGGGAAACACATGATATGGCCCCTGTGACGCCACCTGTGGGGAAACTTATGGTCCACCTTTTCACGGCACACGGGACAGTGCCAGCGGGCACTGTCACTATAACCACGAGGCGCCTTTGGATGCCAATGAAAGGCCGATGGAGTTGAAAGTGGATGTAGTGAGAAATGGCTTTTAGCTCCATCTGGCAGGGGGCACGAGTCGCCACCTCTTCACGAAAAGTAATGCTGTGAAGTAATGTCTGAACCGCATCCTGGAGACTATGGTACAGTCAGCATTAGTTGGCAGTGGGGGCGCACGGTCACAGCAGGAACAGGAGACAGAGGTGAGGTGAGCAGTCTAGACCCAGGTGCACTGCTGAAGAGTAACAAAGCACCCACAGGGTGCCAGGGAGTCAAGGAAGCTGCTAGAAAACAGCAGATGGAGAGAGAGGAGCAGTGGCATGTCCGTGTGTGAGCACCAGACAGGGACTATGGTCCAAGTCCTGCTTCTAGTTTGTGTGTGTCTGGAAGAAGCCATCCCTGTGCCAGGGCTGGTCCTGCCAGGTGGGAGTTGGCCCTGATGCTCCCGAGCATCCTCGGCAGCTGTGTGTGGCAGGGCTTTGAAGGGGGGGACCTGGATCCACTTGAGGTCATGGCTCTCTCCTGCTTTCCTGTGACAGGGGCTCTGACCATCGTCCTGGTGGGGCGGAGTGGGACCGGGAAGAGTGCCACCGGGAACACCATCCTCGGGCGGTCTGCCTTCCTCTCTCGGCTCCAAGCCCAGCCAGTCACCAAGACGTGCCAGAAGGCCAGGAGGATAGGGGCTGAGCAGGACGTCGTGGTGGTGGACACCCCCGGGCTCTGCCTGATGTCCCGTGATGCTTTGCAGCTGGAGATGGTCCGCCGCCATGTGGCTACCAGTGGAGGGAATACAGTCCTGGTCCTGGTGCTCCAGCTGGGACGGGTCGTTCACGAGGACGAAAAGGCGGTGAAGATGCTGGAGTACCACTTTGGAAAGGATGTCAGGAAACGCATGATTGTGCTTTTCACCCGGAAGGAAGACCTGGGGGCCGAGGACATCAACTATTACTGTGCCAACACAGATGACAGAGCTGTGAAGGGGATAATTGGAAAGTGTGGAGCGGAGCGAGTTTGTGCTTTTAATAACAATGCAACTGGCCAGGCCAGGGAAGACCAAGTAGCAGTCCTTTTGAAAATGGCCAGGGAGCTAATAGGTAACCATAAAAAAGGGGATGGATATTCTCGTACATGGGGACCATCAGCCAAAAAAATGCCAAAGGTGCTGGCAATATAAATTTTCCCTTCCAGTGCTCAGGAATTGAAAAGACAGGGTGGTCATAGCTGGGTGAAATGCCTGGGGTCTCCAATTAGTGGCCCACTGAGGGTGGGGGTGAGGGTGGGAGAGGGGAGGACTGCTGGGTGGGAAGAGGGTTCCTGATGTTGGGGGCTGAGGGTCAGTGCCCTTACCCTGTGATGCATCAGCTCTCCATATAAATGCATTGTCAGGCTGGGGCAAGCAGCAGGAAGTATAAAGGAGCAAGGAGAAGTGAGGAAGGAGATGGCTTCGGAGGTGAGGCTGATGTTCAGTTTGAATCAAGTCACCAGCCTCCTCCTACTTGTGTAGGTAGATTGGAGTCAGGACAGACACCAGGACCAAGGCCAAGGCCAGCCTGTGGCCAGAACACATATAGTTACACAGGAACCAGGGCTTCCAGGTATGGGAGCGTGAGGCAGGAGGAGGACCTGGGCTCCTTGGGTGGCCCACTGCCTGCTGGGTCTGCTGGCCCCTTGAGCTGCCCTTTCCTCACAAGGTGGCTGTCCCTGGTGCTGCCTCCTTTTCAATGCTGAGTGCACAGGGACCCAGTCACCCCGTCTTTGTTGTCCCTGAGGGTGTGAGGATGACTCTGTGAGGTTTGAACACATTGTACTGTGAAGTCATCACATGGAGTGAACAGACTGGAACAAAACTCAGAGGTGCAGTAGAACTGCCAAGGTTAGCCCACCTGGCAAAGGTTTAAGATTCTGAGTATAATTCTAGATTTCCTCTAGCAAAGGGTATAGAAGGCTCCCTCTCACTTTTCTCTCTCTGTCCTTCTGAGGGTTCGGCATCAGGTTAAAACTCAGAGGACTCACATGGTCACAGCTAACACTCTAGGGGCTTCAGTGTCCCTTGTCGGGGGTCCCGCAGCTGAGGCAGGTGTGGAGCCAGCCGTGCAGCCTTGTTCTTGTGACGCCTCCGCAGTCCAGGCTGCCTCTCTGTCCCAGGTGGTGGGTGGGTGATGTCCTACTGAGCTGTGAGCAGATAAGGGTGAGCGCTGCCTGCTGGAGGTGCTGTGTGAGACGAGAACTACAGGATGTTCTCCCAGCAGCTAAAGGGCCAGACGACTCCAATAATAACCACTCCATAGATGCTTTGGGGACAGGATCCGTGTCCTGTGGATTTTGTAAGTATCAGCTTACCTTCAAGATTGAGCCATTTGTAAGAGTACCAGCTATGACTATTAACTTTTGTACCTTGCATAACCCTTTATGTCATAAATTCTGGAGAATATGTGTTTCAGTATGCTCAGTTGTGAAATAATAAAGATGAACTATATCATGAATGCATGTGCTCCTGATTTAGTTTTCTGTCTTGAGGAAGAGCATATCTCTTCAGAGAGGCAGTAGATACCTCAACTCTGGCAAGTTTTTGCATCTTTGGTGCTTGGGGCCTTGGATCACAGGTGACAGCCACTTTGCTAGGCACCAGCTCAGGAATGTACCACTCTGCCCACTTCACTGTAGTGAGGATGAATAAGGGTAACCTAAATTAGAACCAGGTACATGGGAGGCAAGGTCTAGAGGCAATTGTGTTTCTTCCTGGAACTTCCCTTCTGTTTACAGGCAGGTAGCTCACCCAGGGTGCCCCCATGGCTAAGCATGTCACGTAGGAGCTGGTGTGTTTGGGTATGTGTGGGCATCTTCTCCCAGGTAGCAAATCTCCACCATCCTTTAGGACTAGTCTTGGGGTAGGGATGACAATACTGTTATGTTAGTTCCTTCAAGAAGCACTTGCTGAGAAAGCTTGAGGCATGCAAGAAGTTTATTGGAGGTGGGGGCAGGGGTGGAGTAGTGTCTGCTACAGACAGGGGCGGAAGCAGAGTGGGACAGAGGAAGACTTGGACCTTGCTGCGGAGCTGATGTTTGGAAAGAGAAGAGACTGTTGTGTTGGACAAAGAGATCCTCAGCTCTGACACAGCCCAGGACAACCCAGAGAATTGTGGGGCAAAGGCGGAGCCATTGCCACATGGGTTGGGTTTGCACTAGGTGTTTCTCCAGGCTCCACCTGGGAAGGCTGGGCTCTGCTCAGAATCTAAGCTGGGTCGTGACAGCGTCACAGCTGCAGGCTGTCCCCTTGCTGTGCAGAAAGCCACACTTTGTCATCTTCTTTTGCTTTTCAATGCTGTAGGTTAGATTCCTACTGAGACACAAAGGACTGAAAGTGACTCATGCAGAAATAAAATCTGAATATCCCTGTAAGATGTAAGGAGGTTAAATTAGTAATTAAAAAATTCTACTGAGGAATTCCACCAAGATGGAGGCGTAGGTGGAAACACCTTGCATCCTCGCACAACCAAATCTAAAAACAATAAAGTTTTAACAACAATAAACGCAACCAAGCCACATAGAAAATCGACAATACAGAGTCCGAAAACAATGAAATGCTCAGCTAAACCGGTAAGAGGGACAAAGCCAGCAGCGGAGTGGGTTGGCCAACAAGATCCCTGACTGGGGTGCTGCTCAGGCAGCCGAAGGCACGGATCCCAGGTGCGGGGTAGCTATGGGTGGACACAAGGAAGAGGCGTGGCTGGCTGTCTGCAGTCGGTTGAGCATTTGCATGCAGATAAACCGATGAAGAGGTGAGCATTGAGACTGCACGGCGCAGGGCGGCGGGCTTGCACATTTCCGCTCACATAAACAGGTGGGGGTGAGCTGTGGGATGGACCAGGCGAATGGAGAGGACCGCCATTGTCCCTCTCTGACCAGCCCCCACACACAGCGTCACAAACCAGCGACCTGGGTGGCCCCGCCCTGGTAAACAACTAAGGCTCTGCTCCTCATATGTAACAGGCACAAACAGATGAAAACATGGCTCAAGAGCAACTCAGAGTCCCAGAGCCCATAACTCTAAGCAATGAAGAGATAGCCAAACTTTCAGATGCACAGTTCAAAACACTGGTGATCAGGATCCTCACAGCACTGGTTGATTTTAGTCACAAATTACAGGAACATATGAAGGCTAAACTAATTGAAATGAAGAAAAATGCGCAGAAAACCAATAGTAATGGAAAGGAAACTGGGACTCAAATCAAGGGAGTGTACCAGAAGAAAGAAAAAAATAACCAAACAGAAAGGGATGAATAAACGAGAATTCAAAAAAATGAGGAGAGGCTTAGGAACCTCCAGGACATCTTTAAACATTCCAACATCCAAATTATAGGGGTACCAGAAGGGGAAGAAGAACAGTCGTGAGTGGAAACCTTATTTGAACAAATAATAAAAGAGAACTTCCCCAATCTGGCAAAGGAAATAGACTTCCAGGAAATCCAGGAACCTCAGAGAGTTCCAAAGAAGTTGGACCCAAGAAGGAACACACCAAGGCATGTCATCATTATATTAGCCAAGATTAAAATGAAGGAGAGAATTCTAGAAGCAGCAAGAGATAAGGGGACAGTCACCTACAAAGGAGTTCCCATCAGGCTGTCAGCTGATTTCTCAAAAGAGACCTTACAGGCAAGATGGGGCTGGAAAGAAGTATTCCAAGTCATGAAATCCAAAGACCTACATCCATATTGCTCTATCCAGCAAAGCTTTCATTTAGAATGGAAGGACAGATAAAGTGCTTCTCAGATAAGATCAAATTCAAGGATTTCATCATTTCCAAGCCCTTATTATATGAAATGTTAAAGGGACTTATCTAAGAAAAAGAAGATAAAAAAGATGAACAGTGAAAGGACAGCAAATCACAGTTATTAAGAACCACACCTAAAACAAAAGCAAACTAAGAGGACAGCTAGATCAGGAACAGAACCATAGAAATGGAGATCACATGGAGGGTTAGCTACAGGGGAGTGGGAGGAGGAGAAGTGGGGAGAAGGTATAGAGAATAAGTAGCATAGATGGTAGGTAGAAAATAAATGGGGGAGGGCAAGAATAGTAGAGGAAATGTAGAATCTAAAGAACTTGAGACATGTGGACATAAACTAAAGGGGGGAATGGTGGGCGAGGTGCAGGGTGGAGGGGAATGAAGGGGGGAATAGGACAACTATAATGGCATAATCAATAAAATATATTTTATTTTATTTTTTATTTATTTATTTTTTAGATTGTTTAGTCGAGATTTTTTTTTTAAGATTTTATTTATTTAACTTTAGAGAGAAAGAGAAGGAGAGAAGGAGAGAAACATCAATGTGTGGTATCCTCTCATGAGTCCCCTGCTGGAAACTGGCCTGCAACCCAGGCATGTGCCCTGACTGGGAATCGAACGGCGAACATGTGGTTTGCAGGCCTGTGCTCAATCCACTGAACTATGCCAGCCAGGAATAAAATATATTTTAGAAAATTATAGCCCAATCTCCAACATGTCCCACACCCTCGATTTAAAATTTGTCAGTCACCTGTCAGGTGAGTGTCTCCTTCTCCCTGACAACCTCGTGACGTTCTGTCCAAACCGAGGGGGCACAGTGTGGAAGAGGTCAGAGCGCCCCGCTGCCTCTAGGGGCTCACCGTCCTCTGGCCTCAGCCTTTTTTGTTTCCTCCTTCCTGGGAAATCCTGCACGTTTCTGCCTCAGCCCGGGACTCTGGAGCCCAGTGTGCAGCAGTTTTACTCGGTTTTTAAACTGGTGTTTATGCCCAATTATTCATGTTCAGTGTTTTCTTCTAGTTTTAGAAACTTCACTGAAGATGCTGCACATCATGAGAATCAGCGCACAGATGTCCTCTTACCTTTTCATCCCTCTCTTCTTTCGGCTCTTCCCTTTCTTTCCTCTAAGTTTTAAGGCACTTTCGTTTGTGTATATGAGATCCTGTCCCATAGTAGATAAAAATGACATTTCTTTTTTTAAAAATATATTTTATTGATTATGCCATTACAGTTGTCCTATTCCCCCCTTCATTCCCCTCCACCCTGCCCACCCCCTACCATTCCCCCCTTTAGTTTATGACCTCGTGTGTCAAGTTCTTTAGATTCTATATTTCCACTACTATTCTTGCCCTCCCTTCATCTATTTTCTATCTACCGTCTATGCTACTTATTCTCTGAACCTTCTCCCCACCTTCCCCTCCTCCCACTCTCCTGTTGCTAATCCTCCATGTGATCTTCATTTCTATGTTTTCACTCCTGA